GTAGATCGATCTCTAGCGCATCATTTTTGAGATATTCGCTTCGAATTTTCGGCATAACTAGGAAGTAATTTTTCAACAGATATCTTTCCTTAAATTTTTTTACTTTCTAAAATTTTGTAATTTTACACAGCAACACATGCAAATCAAAATTACCACCCCAGCTGATCATACGACGCTACAGAATTCTAAATATCTGCAGTTGTTTAACATAAAAAATATACTAATTCAATTAATTTAGTCATGAAAGCTATGTTTTAGGTTAGAAATAACAAATGTGCTAATTTTTAGTACTGACTTCTGATTCAGCCTTCAAATCTTACACTACTCAAAAGTTGGCTAAATTATTTTCTGATCCAACAAAACTAACTGCTTCGGCTAATTTTTTTAGAGCATTTCATACTAGAATTCAGCGACCTAGAGCCATTAAGGGTTGTGTTTCCAAACCCCTTTTTTTTTGTCCGACGAAGTAGATTGGCCAATCTAACTTGGCCAAATGTATTTTTGTTTCATACCAACGTCAAAAAGAACTGATAAACTGTACCAATATATTTAATTTTTTGAGTTAGGAACAAAAAATTAGCCAAATTTTGAATACTGACTTTAAATTCGGCCTCGGCGAGCCAAGATTTGAATTGAAAATTGATAAGAATTGAACAATCTCGTCTCGATAAAAAAAAAATAAATATTTATACGACAAAAAAGACTAGTCAACACTTAAATGCTTTGGGTCACTTTATCCAAAACTAAAGTCAGAACTCGAAAGTTGGATATTTTTTTCCAACCTCAAAAAAAAACACTATTATTTTTATACATATGTATAAAGAAAAAGGTTTGAGGCTAGCGAAAAAACAAGTTCACTTGTGAACTCTTACTTAAGATTCGGTGTCAGAGAGCCAAAAATTATAAAAATATACAAGTCTTTTTTATTAAGACGAGGTGTTTACGTTTTTTTGTCCTTAAAACCATATTTCGTAGGCTTGAAATCTAGAGTGATTCGAATTTTTCAATGTCGTACTAATTCTAAACCAGAAATTTGTTCCACTAGTTTATGGGTCGCTTACTCAATGTCTGGTTAACACTAACTGCAGGTTAAACATCGTTATCGTCCGCCTGTTAAATGCATGTGACCAATAAAGCAGTTGGGGTGTTTACCGGGCAGTCAAGGCCATAAAATTTAGTTCAGATTTTTCCTGCTGAGTTGCATTTAAGAACACTGTATGTGCTTCGCACTCACACTCACATGATCTGGTCTTCTGTGGGTATTATTTAGCTCTCGCATTACTCTTGCGCCACTCCCGGCTTATCTTTAATTTGGTTTGTTAAACTTTTGGCGCACACTCTCCCTTTATCTCTCTCTCACTTGCTCCCCATTTTTTTCATGCAATTTCTTTGTAGAGGGAACTATTTTAATTTTCGTTTGCTGCTTTTGTTTGCGCCATTATTCGACTACTGCTGGCTTTGTATGTATGTATATAGGGGGTAAGTGAGGAGTGGTATGCAGATCGCGGCGTTGGGGTTTTGCATAAGCGTCCAACGAAAGATGATCGAGTTGTGTGAAATCTTTGGTTTGACAAACTTTAACAATAGCAGTATTTGAGTATACAAAAAAGATTAAGAAAGTTTAAGGTGAAAGTTGTAGGTTGGCTTTTGAGCAACAATAGATGTAGAGGTGAAGAAATTTAGAGTAATCTCTTAATTTTTACTTATCTGGCAAAACAATTGAATGCAGCTGTAATACATACATAGTTTCGCTTACTATTTTGGAATTTGTGTACATGAGTATGTATGTGTGTACATACAAGTCTCTAATTTAACAAGAAATGTGAAAACTGGTTGTGACTGGTTGAGTTCAGATTTGGAGGTCTCCTCCAATTTTTGAAACTCGCCATGCCTATACTTCCCATTTCTTGTTGAAGTGAACTTCATTTTGCTGGCCGTAAGCACTTTAAAATTTAAAAGATTTGGGCCCTGCACTAAAATAACTTTGATATAAAATAAACAACTGATGCCTGAAATAATACATATTCACACTAATAATATCAACATATTTCCTCTGCTACACCAAAACAAAGCCCACGACTTATTTGCATGTTTACAATAATTTTTTTATCTGCTGTTGTTGGACATTTGCCACACAAAATGCACACAGTTAATGTACAGTGATAAAATCTTGAGCAACACAATTATTACATTTACAACAGGCCACTAAATAAACTTGCTCACTTCTTGTAAGAGTGTACATATTGCACACCGTCTTCAAAAGAGGCACAACTCAAAATTTGGCAAATTTGAAATTATGCGCCAAAAATGTGCACATAGCTTTTATTTACCTTTCAGCAAAAGCTGGAGCAAATTTTTGTTATAATCTGTTAAAAACCTAAGGACTTTACATTATACTATCATGCGCTAAGAATAATTTTTCGCATTTTCTAACAAACGAGTAATTTTGAGCTGTGCCCCTTTTGAAGACGGTGTGCGATATGTAAACAATGAATAAGTATGAATATATATATTTTTGTCACAAAATAAAAAAAAACAAACACCGCAGTACATATTTCCAAGCAGCTTAGTCATCTGTCACTTTAGCAAAGCTACCAAGTGTTTTAGGCAGTTGACAGTTGCGATTATTAAAAACAAATAAAAAAATTTATATGCATAAAAAATAGGCAAGCCACACAAAACATAAGCTACTAGCAGAAAAAAATAATAATAAGGAAAACCCAATGTCTAAGCGAAATGTCAACAAATGACAGCATCGCCGCTACAGCGTTTACCAATGTCACTGGGACTGGGTGTTTTTGGGCGACAATGTAGTGAAAAGAGAGGTGATTGAAGTATTAGCAGGTAAATGAGTAGTACTTTTGTACAGCATGCGAGATTCAAAGGTCAGGTTTTTCAAGATGCATAGCGGGCCCTAACCGCCAAAATAACGTAAGCGACTTTTTTTTCAAAATTTTAATTTTGATGCAGAAATGCATATAGATGTTCTAGGAATATTTCTGCTTCAAAAGTAAAATTTTGAAAAAAATTTCTCTTAGGTTATTTTGGCGGTTAGGGCTCGATAGGTACGAATTATTCTTTTAAGCTTAGTAAAAGCAAATAATAGTCATAAAACTGCACACATAAAATTCACATGTTTTTTTAGGCATCACTGGTGATGGAAATTCCAGCTATAAGTATTATTGAAAATTTTATATACATGCCTATTAGGATGGGTCAAATTGTTCGGACGAAATTTTTCGACAAATCGTATGGTATTTTCGGTGTCTATAGATAGTTTTAAGAGCAAATGTGGAAGAAACTATAACTCAGAAATGAGTTTCTAGCCTGCGCATTTTTAAAAGAAAAAATCAAATTTTCTCAAAATTATAAACGTACCGCATATTGACAAGTTTTAAAATTAGTTTTTGTTTGGTACGTATTTAATTTTATTTATTTTTGTTTGTAAAGATATTGTTGACTCTTTAACAAAAATCACATAAATTCAAATATCAAACTTTCTATAACATAAAAAAATCAACACACTTTCGCGCAATTAGCTTAGGACTTACGGTTGATTTTTACCAATTTATTTGCTGACGATGTTGGGCCTTTTTTTGTATTTGCAACAATATTTATGGATAAATAAAAAATTAAGTAAATGTAAGAAATTAAAATACAGTCATTTTATATGCAAAAGTTTTAAGAAAATGTGAAAAATTAAATATCGTGAAAAGATAATTTTTTCATTTAAAAATGCGCACGCTCGAAACTCATTTCCGCCCATGGTTTCTTCTACACTTTCTCTTAGAATTATCTGCAGAATCAGAAAATACCATAAATTTAGTAAAACAAATATGATCCATACTAATACATATATATAAAAAATTGTTTCAGCAGACTACAAAATAAAATTTGCTTAAAAATATTAAAAAATTTATAAGAAAACAAAAATTTAACAAGAAACAAGTTTTATGATAATCATAAATTTTCATAGCTTAACCACTAAAATATAAAAAAGAAAATTTATTTTTGAGAAGTTTAAATTAAAATTTAAAATTTATCAAACAAATTCCAAAACATTTTTGGTTATTAAATCGACTTCTACCTTCATTTTTCAGCACAAAATCCTTATCTACATTAATTTCAATTACATACTTTCTACCTTTTTTGCCGGCTAACTGCCCACTGTATTCATAACACTGTCATCGCAGCTCTTTCATATGCAAAATTTGTATGCCATAATTTATTGCTTTGTATGAGTTTCTCATTTCTGTTTTTTTTTTTTGTTTTGCATTTTAATATAAAACACACCTCCATATATGGCTTCCCCATTCAATATTTTGATTTGTGGGTCTCGATATCTGCTTAAATGGCAAACGCACGTACATCCATAGGTACATATGTATGTATGTAAATATATATTCAAACGTAAGTTATTTACATTCATTTCTATGCGAAAAAAATGCGCAAACAGCTGCCGCAAAGCTGTCAGTCAGCGGTGATAGACATTGCGGCATGACCGCAAAAATTTTATATAGAATAATAAAGAATTCAATACCAGTGGCTATAGAATAGTTTAATGCTACGTAAAAGATAGCGAGGGAGTAGGTGAGCCCACTGTGGATATATGTATGTAGATACAATCAAATGCTACGTAACATTTTCCGGGTAAATTTTCACTTTCGTTGTTGTATTTTTTTTTTCTAACTCTGCTACCTAAATTGTTTGGATTTGGCGCCGAGTATGGTGTTGCACTTCGACACATATCCGCTCTGCTGGTAGTAGATAGAATTATAAACAAAAGCTGCGCCTATTTTTGCTTTCGCTTTCGATTTCATGCAGCGCACAGGAAGATAAACACACATGCACACCCACTATACATACATACAAATATAGCCAAAAATTTAGCGCATTTGTACCTTGTGTGTGTCTGTGTATTGCGAGCCATCTGAATACTTTTATTTTTATTAATTGTAATGTCGTTCTAATCACTTAATAGAATCAAATATTTTGCGTTGAAGCTATGACTACACATCGACCGCTTCGATTTTTGTCTCAAAATGACGTCACGTGACACGTCATTGCTCTGTGAAATCACAGCACCCTTGGTGTTTATGTTGACTATGCAGTCTACAAGAAAATTCAAAACAAAGGCAGACGCTACATAGTTTGTGGGAAGAATTCAGGCAGGAGGTTATAGGTTTGACGGGAGCGGAAGTATTAGTAGTGGGCGCTGTTTTGGCTTGTGAATTGGTCTGATTCTGCTGATTCATCGGTGCATTCGGTGAAAGCAATCACGCTATGACCGAACGATAGACAGACGGCGCTGAGTAATTGTAGTGAGTAGTGCAAAGAATGCAGACCGGAAAGTGAGCTCGAAAATTAGCGAGACAAAAATTTAAATAATTGACTAATAAAGGTATGAAAAATATACATACTTATGTATAAAGTAAAATTTAAAAATAAAATAAACAAATTTTAAATAAAAGAATTAAAAAATAATAAAAAAATATCTAAAAAATAAGAAATATTAAAACTAAAAAAATTTTAATAGAAGAATATTAAAAGTAAAAATGTTGCAACTTAAAAAAAAACATGAAAAAATAAAAATTAAGAAAAAATAATGAATAATAAAATATCTATGAAATAAATTAAGAAAGAAAACGAAATCAAAAATGCTTTTAGAATTGAATAAAAAATATATAAAGGAAAAATTTGTACGAAAAATAAAAAATTAAATAAAAGTAAAACGAAAAAAGCCGGAGAAAAGCATATTCAAAATTCAAACGATTAAAGCTAAAAATCTACAGAAATCAAAACAAATTTTTATCCATCACAAGTCCCCAAAATTTCCTTTGCAAACTTTGCTTCAAGGCGAATTTATATAAGGTGGTGTTGTTTCATCAGCTGTGAGTAGCGTTTGATTGTCAAAATTTTGAATTTCGTTAGTGAGTGAGTGAAAACGGGAGAGTGTTTGCATTTTCTGTCGCCCTTTTTCATTCGGGGAAGAATAGCTGAAATTTGACAATGGCCCGCTAAAAGCAAAAACCAAATACAAGTAATTGTTGTATTTGTTCAATCGATACCACCTTATATATTCGCCTTGCTTTGCTTGTTTATTTAATTTTTTTTCACAATCTGAATCTCTGGCTCTTCGCTCATTCAGCAATAATTCTTAAATATGTACGTGTATCTACTAACAACAGCCAGCATTCGATTGCATGACATAATATTCGGAAATAAAAAGGAATAACATTTTTTTGGCAAAAATTTAGAAACAATACTCGTATAACTAAATGTTCTGTTGTGCGGAGGCAGACAGGTGGCAGTCAGTGATGCACGAAAAACAAGCAGATGGTGGAGTACAGTAACAAAAAAATGTTTATGAATAAAATTAAATTTCAACGAGTAATAAAATTAACGAACGTACGGGAAGCAAACAAGCATAAAACTTAAAATAGAAATGCACATTTTAAGTAACTATGGCAATAACAACTAAATTGAAGCGATACAAGTGCACATTATGAAATGTAAATATTCGATTTAAAAGTAGAATAAATTTAAATTGAAAGATTTTGTGAAATTGGTCGAAAAAATCGAACACTTACTAATTAAAAAAACAAAATACTAGCGCAAATTTATGTGCTGCCTCGCCCACCTTTAGCTTTAATATACAGTAAAAAAAACACCAAGAAAAACTTACAAATACGCCAACGCTTCTAATTCATTCTGACCTAAAACTGAAAACAAAAGTCTATAAATTTTGTGAAGCAGTAGCAAAAATAGCACGCAGCATTTAAAACAGCAGAAATTATCATAGAAAATTCGAAATGAAAATCATTGATAAAAAAATAAAAGTTTTAAATTTTGATAAACTCGAATTGAAAAGACACGTTTTTATACAAATAAAGTTAAAAGAATTATGAAAAAAAAATTCAATTTTATTTATAACTATTGTTTTTTGTCAATTTATTCATTTTAGCACATCGCATGTCAACAACGCAAAGCAAAAATATTCAAAAAGAAATAAAGTGAAATAGTTTAAAATTTATTGTAAAGAAAATTTCGGAAGCTCTTTTTTAAAAAACGTATTTGAATTATCCTTACTGAACAAAACACAAGCTACATTTCAGTTTCATTTTGTGGAGTGAAACAAAATTAAAACAAAAAATGCCCGTTTTTCATACAAAAACCATCGAGAGCATTTTAGATCCTGTCGCTCAACAGGTGAGTAGAAAAAAAATTTAATATTTTTTTACTTCATATTTTTGCCGTATTGTTTTAATTTTTAGTTTTTTAAAAACAAAATTATTTTTGATGAAAAAATATATACTGTACATACATACGTACGTAGGTATGCATGCAAATAAATTTACTTTTTAATATGTTTTTAAACTTTAATTTTTGTTTTTGATTTTTTTTTTTGTCAATAATGTTTTTTAAGCGTGTGACCCATGGCCGAAATAATAAAGACACGACATTTTGACCAGTTTAGACTATTTTTCTTTTGTCTCAAGTAGGTTTTAAAATGTATCTGCCCAACAAACACATTTTTATAGAACAAAATTTATGTCTAAACCTACTTTTTTATAAAAGTATGGCTCAATATCTAGTTAAAACCATAAGAGTCCAAATTTTAAACTTTGTGGAAAAATTTGGAAAATTTTAAGAAGGTTTCATCAAAATATCAAACTTTCTAATCAGAATATTTTAGTAAATTTTAGTATAATAAAGTAAAGTAAGCAAGTATGAACTTGATGTTACGCATTTTCTTTCAAACAATGACAACATATGACATCGATAGCAATTGCTCGCACGTTATCGATAAATATGCGACATAAATAATATCGCAAATAAATCGATTAAAATGTATACATACATATGTATCGATAACTATAGAGGTACCTATACCACTCCGTAGGACCTGGGTTCGATCCATGGTCCGGGCAGCATCTAAATTAGAAGAAGTTTCTTTCTAACACCGGTCACCGCCGGGCGGGCACTGGCAAGCCTCCGAGTGTATTTCTGCTTGGAAAAAGTTGCTCATAAAATTCAATTGCCGTTCGGAGGCGGAGTAGGTCCCTCTATTGTTTGTAAGAACATTAAGGCGCACACCACAAATTGGAGAAGCTCGGCCAAACACTTGTTATGTACCGGTGGCTATACTAATAACAATAAATATATCACGCTAACTTCCATATTTATATAGATAACTATATCACAAAGAAATCGATATATACATATGTATCGATAACTACACTAATATCGATACATATGTCAAACCAACTTCTATTAACCCAAACAATTCGATTAATGTATATGAAAATCGATAAATTTATCGAAAATAATATCGATAATTCCGTCAATCAATAGGAAACCTGTTTCACGTCCAAGCCTCCAGAGACCACATTTCTAAACTTTTTTTAAATTAATTTTTGTTTCTAATACACTTCAGCGCTCTTCGGCGATGCAGTAGCTACAATTAACATTTATGTATTTATTTTACTCACGCATATTAGATAACGCAGCCGGTCACATGAGAATTTCCAGCTAAAAATTGAGTTGTTGTAGAGGAAGGAGCATTGAATTGAATTAAATTTTCAACAACAAGCATGTAATTTATGCAGGCAACATTTTTTCTATTTATTTTCAAAGTACATATTTATTACTTTATAAAGCGAATATTATTTGACAATTCAATGGAAAAATGTGCGCTTGGTTACCTTTTTTGGCTGACACTCTAATTGGCGTATATATATGTATATTTTTTAAACTTCACATGAAACTCAGCGATGAATATTTCATTGAAGGCTAATCGGAATACATAGTCATGTACTTGTGTTGCATACTTTTTTCCTAGAATACTAAGCAATTTAGGGTTTTAACGCGAGACACTTGTTTATGGGGCACTTGAGAGTGGAGGCAAGCAGAACTCCGAACCGATTTGTTTACAATTTTTTGCAAGAAGAACCAGTAGAAATTAATACACAAAAAGGGAACAAGAAAAAACGGTTGCTGATTATTTCAACATTTGTAGATACATTCATGTTTTCATGACACATACATATGTATGTATATTAGGGCGGGTCAAATTTATTGCATCAAAAGCACATCGCGATTATGGTTATTTGGGTAATTTCAGCAATTTTCGCCAAGAACCAATAGGTCTAAAATGAATTTCGAGCCAGCGATTTTTTCTATCTAGGTTTTTTTTCAAAAAGTGGCTCACCTGTTGAAACAGTTGTATTGAAAACTAGCCAAAATGTGTATCTGGGGGTTTTTGGATTTGAGGAATCCATTTCTGGCAGTAATTTTTTGCTTCTGAGGGCCGCCAGAGGGCGCTTCCGTACTTTTTTTTTAATTTTAACGCCTTTTTTCCGAAAATCGAGAATATTGTTGCGAAAATCTATGAAATTTTACTTTCCCAAATGCTTGAAATGACCAAAATAATCATAATCGCGATGTGCCTCTGTAAATTTTTTTCGGCCCCTACAAATCGACCCGCCCTAATGTATATGTATGTGTTATACTATTTTTATATGCTTGCGCAAAGCGTCATTGAAGCAAAGAGTAATATCCAACCACAAGGGCTGCAGAAGCTGAGAAATATTAAACGACTAGAGCATATGGTGAAACTTTAACCAGATGTGTGCCAGTTGATACAGTCAACAGCCGCCAGTCAGAAGCCAGCAGCCAGCGGCCAGAAGCCAACAGCCAGCAACAAGTAGCGCGTAGCTCATAATTTGTGGTAATTATTTTTTTAGCTGTTGCTGCCGATGATTATTATTTTTGGCTGCTTGGCGCTTTTGTCAAAGCGTAAAATAATCGAAAACCTGCAAAAGTCCATATCAGTATGTCACAAATTTACATTTGTGGTTTGACAGTAAACATCTGTCTTATGTCATCTGTCTCATTAAGCCGCAAATCCATTACAATTTTAATTTTTTCTTTGAATTATTTTTCTTAGTTCTTTTAGTTTCTTATGTTTTCTTTTTCTTTTCAAATGCCAACTACTGCCACCTACACAAGCTGCCATAAACTACTGATTGCAAAACTGTAAATCAGAAAATAAAAAAATTTAAAAATTCATATTAAAAAATTTATATATTGCTTTTTTAATTTGTAATTTTTAATTTTTTCATTTTTAAATTTGAAATTTTCCAAATGTTTTTTTCAGGGCCTTTAAATGTTTATTTTTTCAACAGTCTTATTGAAAAATGTTTGTGGAAAGCAAAAAAGATTTACAAGGAAAAAATTTAATATTAAAAGAAAAAAACGGAATAAATATTAAATTTCTGTCTGATTTTTTCTTTTTCATAAAAAAATCAAAGAAAATGTAAAAAAGCAAATATTAGTCAAAAGTAGAAAAATAAATTTTAAATTTTGTATACTTTCATTATTTAAATGTTTTTAGTTTTTATGTATGTATGTATTTTCAATCCGACGGTTTCTTATTATTCATAAGTTTTAATTTGTAATTTTGAAAAGCATAAAATGTAAATAAAACTATAAATAAATGCAAATGTAAATGTATATAATGTAAAATAAAGTTAAAGCATAAAATCTTAATTTTTCTCATTAATGAAAATTAAACTTTTTTCCCAAACAAATAAAAATCAAAAGAGCAACAAAAAACTAATATTAAGTAAACAAATTTTTAATTTGAATGAAAAAGTCAATTCAACAGTAGAAAAAAATATAAATTTAAAAATGTGAAATTGGTCGAAAAAATCGAAAATTTACGAACACAGAAAAACCGTATTGTATGTTTTATTTATGGCCGCCTACTGATTTTATCTTTAACATACAGTATTAAAAAAATAACAAAACGCTTTCAAAAATCACCAACGTTCAAATTCAAAATGAATGAATATCAAGTAAATTTTTTGCTTTCACTTTTTTTATTAGTTTTAATGCTTGATTATGGTTGTCTAAACAAAAAAAAACGTATTCAACTAAAAAATTATATGAAAATTGAATTATATTAAAAATGTGAACCATATTTAAGCTTTTTCTTAAATTTTCCCTCCTCTAACGATTGCCGTTGGAAATGTCAACAACTGGCGCCTACGCATTGCGTCATAAACTATTGAGCAATAAACTGTACAACAACAAAAACAAATAAATAAAAACATAACAATAAGTTCAAACATGTGTTAGTATAAAATAGCAACGCACTCACTCCATAAATGTCAGCCAAAACAAAAACCTGTGCCGCATTCATTTAATTCCATTCATTCAATTTTTATCGTTTTCACGCCGTAAGAGACGCCCGCACACCTTCGTAAAAGTGGCAAATAGCTGAGTTTACATACATATGTACCCCGTTTGCCCCTATAACACTGGCTCATACTATTTCAAGCGATTTTAAAGTGGCAAAATATGAAAACATGCGCGTAGGTCAAGTGGCTGTGACCGCCAAATGTGGCCGGCAATTCGGTCGGCCAAACGGTTGAGCGGTGCGGCAAGCATTCACACCTGATCTGTGTGGTAGAGTTCATATTATAAATAGCCAGCTTATGACACTCACACAGTGGTAGTGATTTCCGCGATTTTTACCAATTATGGTTAGGTGTATTGTAATTAACCGGTTTTTATTCGCTTCTGCTATATTTTGATAGCTAACACTTTGGAAATTTCTGAATTCTTAAACGCGTAAAAATCGGTTTTTATTGCCATTTAGGGATGCTCAAATGTAGCGCGTTATTAGCGCCAACCGTTTGGGCGAGAGAAAGAAATTTAAAAATAAAATACAAATAATAACGAAATTAACCAAGTGTATTTCTTTATTCCCAACAGCGTTGTTAATTTAGTAACTGTTTCACGATTCTACTGAAATTTTCGAAAACGACATTAGATTAATCCTTAACATCCGGTTTCAGCAGCAATTTAAATGGAAAATTATTTTTTTATTTTCTGTCAATTTCCATATTAATTACAAAAAATTAAAATAATTTTTCACTTAAATTGCTTTCATGAAATTGGCTGTAAATCTATAACTCCTATTAAATAGTTGATTTTTTGAAATCTGTAGTACATAGTGTTAGAGAATTTTTTCAAAAATTTTAATTTTTTTTAATTTTGTCTATAAAAATGTTCGAGAATTCCATATTTTCACATTTTTTATTTTTAGTATTTTTTATGCATATTTTTTTTAAATTTTAATAATTTTTATAACTTATGATAGTCGTTGAAGTGAAGCTGTGTGTTTTTAATCACAATTCAAAGTTCATATTTTCCAGCTATTTAAGTCTTCTAGTATTTGTTCAAATTTGGTGTGTAACCACGCCATGGTTCCCTCAAATTGAACAAATTATAATTTAAATATAAATAATTTTCAATTTTCGTCTTTAGCAATACGAAGTTAGCTTAAAAAAAATATTCCTAGTTCGAGTTTTACAGATAAGCTTCTAAACAAAATATTTTTTTAAAAATGCTAAAATATAAAAACGTAAAAAAATCTCGCCAGTGCATCGTAAACTATAGCTCTGTGAATATAGAAGATATCGGCCTCAAAATTTCGGAAAAATCAGCGCAATGCTCATGCTCATAAATGGGATGAAGAAAAAATTTAATAACCGAGTGTGCAATGCCTGAAAAAATAGCATCTCAAGAAAAAAAGAAACATCAAAACATTTTCCGTTTGACGGTCATTTACTCAAAGGCCTATGCTTAACTGATTCTAGCCTTATTTTAATGAAATTTGCTGCAAACGAAAGCGAGTAGCATATATGTAGATTAATAAGTTTTATATTTTTTTCACTCCAAGTTTACAAACAAAAATGTACATAAAATAATGAAAACTTAAAAAATGCTCCTCAACTATCAAAGCTATAGCACTGGAAATTTTTGAAATGTTAGTCCGGTTCTCAAATAAAACGAAGTAAAAAATTTGATGTCTGATTTGACAAATTCGAAATTTTTGATATGTCAGAAAAAAATTAAATTTTGAAATTTTCATTAGCATGAAAAAATCATTTAAAATGGCTTACAAGAATGGAAAAGACATTTTTTCTATGAAAATTTCTTATATCAGTTTGAAGCTCTCAAGAAAAAATTACTTGTATATTTATTTCTTCAAGAAAATTTGCAGCAAAAGCAAAGTGCTTTTTCAATCAACAGGAATAATGAAAAATATTTCTTGTGATTTTTCTTGAGAGCTGGATTCTAAGCTTTAAGGACCAAAATTCAAAAAATCTAGCCCAAACAAAAATTATAAATAAATTTGAAGCTATTTCATAAAAACACTCCGTGATCATAATTATAAGCGCAGCACACATATTGACCAGTTTTACTGATTGGAGTTTTTTTTTGTTGAGGTTGTTGCTCATTTTCTCCATATATCTAATCTTTCTAAGAAATTTAATTAAAAAGCTCGAAATTTTTAAAAAAGTTTGTTGAATTTTTTTTCAAATAATTGCACATGGTTTGAAACTTGGATTTAAATAAACTATATTTTTATAAAAAAAAATAAAAATAAATTTAAACAACAAGATAAATTGTTAAAACTTTTCAATATGTGGTGCGCTTATAATTATGGCACGAAGTGTATATGTATGGGGAAAAATGTATGTACGTGTAGATAACTTACCGATTTTTGTGGAAGATATGCTTGTTATCAATAGTAAAATCGCCAATTATGTATGCTATTGAAGCTTACTCACTTACACTTACAAATTTTCGTATCATGATTTTATCAATAGACACTGATTTCACTTTCTTTTGCTTTGTATTTAACTTTTTGATATAAACTTTTTTAGTTAAAACATTTTTATTATTTTTTTTTAATATTCTTTATTATTTTATTTTTATTTTTATTTATTTATTTTATTATTTTTGCCATTATCTGGCCTAATAACAAGTAATATTTAAAAATTTTATTGAGCTTGGGGCCGTTTTTCAAAAAAAAAAATTATTGTGGAATACAACAATACTTTACAAGCGCTAGAAGTTTTAACTCCTATTTAGGAGATCACCACGTCTCTTCATGAGACTTCTTCATCCCATAAAACTCGATAAAGAAATCTGAAGAGATGTGGTGATCTCCGATATAGCAGCTATAAATACTAACATTTGTAAGCTATTGTTGTTTTGCACAATAATTTTTCATTTAAACAACCTAAAACCCAATAAAATTGTTGAATATTATTTTTTATTCTTTTTTTTTATTTTTTTATTTCTTTATTGGTTTTTACTTTTTTATGTTTAACTTTGGGCCATTCCGCATTTCCGGGACATTTGACTGCAGAATGTTATCAGTTGTGATTTATATTTATTGTAAAATATATATAAATAACTAATGTGTAAAATTCCTTTTAAAAAATATCAAACAATTTCTAAGTTATTTGTAACAATTATTTGAACGAATGTGACTGGTAGGAACCTGAACAAAGGAGCAATTTTAGCCGAAACACTTAATTTTCAAGCCAGATTTTTTGTTATAAACTATACGCTTTCGCTTTCATTAAAAATTTGGCTGATATAATCTTCATAGAAATGTTTAAAAATAACTAAAATTGTGACTGGTAGGACAGGTCATTGTGACTGGTGTAAAATAATTAGGTATTAAGTAAAAGTTTCGAGACAAAAATTAAAGCTTCTTTCTAATTTGTTAATATTTTTCAATAGATGAATGAAATGTAGTTATATAGCAAGCGGTTACTACTGAAATATGGATAAAAGGCATTTCTAAATTTATGACATGGAATGACCCCTTTCACTTTAATTATTTTTATTGGTTTTTTAAATTTTTATGTAATTTTTTACCACAATTTTTTACTCCTGACTTTGCTTTCTTTTAATTATTATACCTAATTTTTTTATATATTTTGCAAATATAGCCTTTTAGCTAATCATAGAGATAAACAACTTTCATAATACATACTTATGTACACACACAAACACTGATACAGACACTAATGAGTTCTTGTTGTAAATATTGTTTGTCATCAAAAAGTTAAACATACATACATGTGTATGTTCAAATGGAAAGCGTTTGCTTGCATTAACGATGTCAATATTGCTGTGGCCATATAACAAAGCTGAAAACAGAAAAAAAAAACAAATTAAGAAAACAATTTTAACAAAGCAATTGAAAAACATTAATTAAATTGATATTATGGCATTAGAAGTAAAAAATAAAAATAAGATTTGAAAAAAATAAAAACTTAAGCTCTATTAAAACATGGACAACGAGGAATATTTTAAAATAAATTAATTAATTTAATAAAATAGTAATAGCCAGTTTCACGAAAGCAATTTGAGTTAAAAATTATTTTTTATTCGATTTTAATATGGAAACTGACAGATAAAAAATATTTTTTTACTTAAATTGCTTTCGTGAAACCGGCAGTAAGTAAATAAAATTTAAAGTGGCAAAATATTTTCCCAACCTGAAAAATCAAAAACCTAAATATTATTTTTTTTTATATTTTCACTTATATATGTATGTACATACAGTGGTCTAAAAAATAAAGCCGCACCAAATTTTGACAAGTTTTAAGACATTATTTTTTTGTTATTCAATTTTGGTTATTTCTTTATAAAAATATAGTTGATAACAAAAAAAAACGTGTAAATGATCCAAATTTCAAACTTTGCGCAATATTAAAAAAATTAACAAGCTTTCTTAAAAATTTCGAGATTTTTTGATCAGATTTCCTAGAAAGATTTACAGTTTTGTAGCCCATTGAATTTTAGTTTCAAATGGCTATATGGTTATTCTGTTAATTTTTCAGATTTTTTCTACCATTTGCTTCCATATAACGAATAAGCAAAAATTTATTTTTATATAGAAAAAACCCGTAACATCTTCGACAAAAAATATCCTAAAGAGTCAACGGTAATTTTTAGCAATTTAAAATGTGTACTTTATTGTACTAGAATTCAAACTGCATACTCAGGAACTTTCTAGGAAATTTAATTAAAATAGATAGAAAAGTGTACGAAAGTTTGTTGAATTTTTTTAAACATGCATAAATACTTGTGTTAAATTAAAATTTTGGAAATTTTAGTGTATAGTAATTATTTTCCATTTTGGTGGAAAATTTAATATTTTAAAGTATTATTGATAATGAGGCAATTCTTGTTTTCGTACGAATCGAAAATTTTAAATTTTTGTATAGAAAATGACAGGAAAATTTCGTGATTTTTGATGCGTACGAAAACAAGAATATGCCCAAAGATTTATACAGTGACTCTAACAAATGATCACGTGTTGATTTTTTTAAATATTCGCAATGTTTTTCGAGCAAAATTTTTTTCGCTATATTTCTATAAACGGTGGACGGTGTGTCCAAACCCAACGCGATTTTTGAGCCCTTTCAAAATTGCACTTCATTATACTAAAATTGTATCTAAAGATTCATATCAAAGTGAAAATGAAATTTTGAAACTGTGATTTATGTATATGATTTTGGTTAAAGCTTGGACGATATTTTTATAGAAAAATAAATAAAACTTAGGTCGAATATTCAAAAAAAAAAAAAAAATCAACAAGTGGTCATTTGTTTGAGGCACTGTATATACTTTAATTTATTTTTTAAAAACCTTTACTTTCTATTTGTTTCACTCTATCTTTCAGATTTCTTTTTAACTTTTTATTTATTGATTGTTGTTGGCATAAAGTTTTTTATTGAATGCTATTTTTATTTTAGGATCTGAAAGTTTCTCCTTTTTGTAAATTAACATAGTCCATGATAGTGCGCTAAATTGTGTGAAATGGAATTTTGGAATGGAACACTTCATTAAAACAGTTTTCTGTTAAAGTCTTTTTATATATATTTTTAATTTTTTTCTTTAAAAATGATTTGTTATTAAAATTTGTAATTTTTCTTTTCATTTTTCAAAAATTATCTTTACTACATTACTGATTTGTAGATTTTAAACATTTGTTCCAATAAAATTTAATTTAAAGATAAAAACTAAAATTAATTGAAATAAAATAAAGTAAATAGAAAACACTTTTTAGCAATAGTTATATGCAATTTTATGATTTTAAAATACATTTTTTAATTAATGCAAACATCCTTTCAAACACTCCCACATTTTTCACGCCACTCCTTCCACCCCACTTTTCAACCAGACAAATTTCGCTACACACCTTTATGGCAAGTATTTATGTATGTTAGCGTGTTGGTGTGTAGTGTAGTGTGGATACGTGTTTTTAATAAATCAATTTGGCATTGAAATACACAGATCTCTACAATCAATTAAGCGCTTTCCGCGCGCAAAAAAACAAAACCTTGGAACTACATATTTTCATTTCAAAATTGAAATGTTTATATTACAATATCGAGCAAAGCACATTAACCTATTTACGAGTGCGGTGTATGAACGTACATACACATGTACATATGTATGTATGCATGTGTACTTTTGTATGTAGCTATGTGGTTACATCGTTAAATTTTATTAAAGCAAAAATTGTAAACACACGCAAGCAAGTGCCAAGAAGAATATTGGCGGGCTGAGGGCAAGACGAATTTGTTGCAAAAAAAAAAAAACAAAAAGGAAACAAAAAACAAAAAAAAAAAAAATTTAAATTGCAGCCGAAATAAACTCAAATTATAATTACATAATTATTTAATGTGCTGATGAATGATGAATGTGGAATATGGGAATGTTTTGTTGACAAAAATTGCCTCATCTAACACATTGTGGTTGTTTCTACTTTTTCTAAAGCCATTTTTTTTTTATTGGTATTGCAAATTAATGAATGTCGTAAATTATTTAATTTCATTTTTGTTATTTTAACTTTCAGCATTATTTTTTTTTTATTTGTTTAGCTTTAAGTTTTTTTTTATGCCAAATCGGTTTAGGTTTTTTTTATATTTTGCTTCACATGATTTCATTATCCAGTTTTCCTTGGGTCTTTTAACCCCATTGATGACTAATACGAAAAATAGCAATAAATCTTTGCGTATACTTTCTCGCTGACGCCCACCTTTCCACTACATTATATTCTATATAAAAACACATTCAATCGAGGAAGAAAAAAATAAAAATAAAACACTCATTTACCAGACATTTTCCGCTCGGCGTTCGGCATTTCGCCAAATTTTTCATAAATTTGTACGATTTTCTTACGTATTACAACCTGTAAACTTGTGGTTACGGTTCACAAAAGGACTCGAGGACTTTTTTTTTTGAAGAATAACAAAAACCTAAATTCATATGTATGCAGCTCTGAAGAAGTACGAAAAATTCATATAAAGCAGCGCACAAGTAATGGAAAAGAAATTTTATTTTATCACAATTTCTTAAGAAATCAGTACGCAGCTCTCATGAAAAAATGCTCCTATACTTTTACATATGTATATCTTCAAGAAAATTTACAGCAACCGCAAAGTACTTTTTCAAGCAACAGAAATATGTAATGAAGAATATTTCAACTGATTTTTCTTGAGAACTGCAAACGGCCCTTTAACTTCGAAAATTTATTTTTCCGAAAAGTAATCATATTAATTTTATTTTAACTGTTATTGAGCTTTGTACCACGATTTTTTTTTTTTTTTTTTTTGGGAAAATTGCAAAAAGCAAACAAAGTTTAGCAGCAGCAGTTACAGCTGCTATTTCGGAGATCACCACATCTCCTCATCAGACTTCTGTTTCTAGAACTCAGCAGGAATCGAAGCGGCATCATCGATGTGCAAAGTCCGCAGCGCTAAACTCTTGTTGCTTATCCATTTGCATATTCAACCTACTACAATCAAGTGCAGCCGATTTGCCGCTGTTTCAACTTTTTTTAATCAAATCAATTGTCATTTCGAAATTCGAAATTTGAGATCCGCAACCCCAAAAACCCCAAAATACCGTTTTGATAAGGTTTGCTGATTTCTTCAATTTTTTGTTCGCCATCATAAAATTTTATTTTAAAAATACTTTAATTTTGGAATTTTCTCCATTTGAATATTTTTTTTTTGGAAATGTATGTTTTATTTTTTGAAAATATACATATTGATTTTATTTTATATTTTGAGAATTTTTTTATCTATGTATATATTTTTTAAGCTTCAACTAAAATAAAATAAAATTTTATATTTTTAAACTTAACTTTTTACGTTTTTCGAGTTTTTGTAAATTTCAAATTTTTAGGCAGTTTTTCGTTTAAGGGAGATTTTTGTTTCGAAAATTGAAATTCTAAGTTTATTTTGAATTTAAATGTTCAAATTTTTTCGTTTTGTTTAAATTTCACTTATTTTATTGTGAAATATCAAAACTTTTTTCAACTTTTTCCTATTGGGCCATTATTTAAAAACGTTTTTAATTTATTTTTGAAACAAGTTTTGAAAGCTTTTATTTATTAGGGTATTTATTTCTTTTGAAACTCTCTGTTCATTTTTATTATTGGAGATTTTTTAATTTTTCAAAAAGTTCAATTTAAATATTATGGATTTTGTGGGAAAATATATGTTTCGAAAATTTTTATTTTAAGTTTTCTTAAAATTGTAAAATGTTAAAGTTTGCTTAGTTTGGATCTTATAACCTATAAACCTTAATTCATTACTTTAAAGTAGATATATTTTCCGTTTTGACTTTTTTTTAAATATTTTTCAAGCACATAGTTTGAATACCCTAGCTACTTTTGCACCACAAAAGTAATAATTAATTATTTTTTTTCCTTCTCTCTTCTCTCCCCACTCAGGTCTCTCGCCTCGTCATCCTCCATGAAGAAGCCGAAGATGGCAACGCCATGCCCGATCTCAGTCGCCCCGTACAGGTGGTGTCGGCAGCTGTGGCCAATCTCGTCAAAGTCGGCCGCGAGACCATCAACAGTTCGGACGATAAGATCCTGAAGCAGGAGATGCCCGCATCGCTGCAGCGCGTCGAGACTGCCTCGCAGTTGCTGGAGGAGGCTTCCGATATGTTACGAGCCGATCCCTATTCGGGACCTGCGCGTAAGAAACTAATTGAAGGAAGCCGCGGTATACTGCAAGGCACCTCCTCGCTGCTGCTCTGCTTCGACGAGTCCGAGGTGCGCAAAATCATACAGGAATGCAAAAGGGTGCTCGACTATTTGGCCATTGCCGAAGTGATAAATACCATGGAAGATTTGGTGCAATTCCTCAAGGACCTCTCGCCGTGTCTGAGCAAGGTGGCGCGCGAGGTGGGCGCGCGTGAGAAGGAGCTGACACATCAGGTGCACAGCGAAATTTTGGTGCGCTGCTTGGAGCAAGTGAAAATATTGGCACCGATCCTCATCTGCAGCATGAAAGTCTACATACACATCGTCGAGCAGCAGGGCAAGGGTGCGGAGGAGGCGGCCGAGAACCGCAACTACTTGGCGTCACGCATGAGCGATGAGATACAGGAAATTATACGCGTGCTACAGCTGACTACCTACGACGAGGACACGAGCGAATTGGACAATTTAACGGTGCTGAAGAAGCTCAGCAATGCCATCAACAACAAGTCTGAGCTGGCTAACGACTGGCTTTCCAATCCGTATGCGCTGAAGGGCGGCGTTGGAGAGAAGGCGCTGCGCCAGATAATCGACAATGCCCACGAAATCTCGGATCGCTGTCTGCCGCAGGATGCATACCCCATTCGGCGCTTGGCGGACGAAATCGCCGCCATGACGAATAGCTTATGCGAGCTGCGCCAGGACGGCAAGGGCACTTCACCGCAGGCAGAGTCTTTGGCGCGCGCCATACGCGGCAAGCTCGGCGACCTGCAATCCCTGGTACGCAACGCCGTCGTCGGCGTGGACAAGGCAGGCCTGCAGCAAACCGCGCACACCATCCAAGGCCGTCTGGAGCAGGCCGTCAAATGGCTCCAGCATCCCGAAATCAACGACGGGGGCTTAGGTGAGCGCGCCGTCAACCTGATTGTGGAGGAGGGGCGCAAGGTTGCCGAGGGCTGCCCGGGTCATCAGAAGGCGGAAATCAATCAACTCTGCGACGAGGTTGAGCGTCTCAAGCGCCAAGCGGCGGGCAACACACCAGCTGCCAAAGAGGCCGCTAAGCAGCTGACGCACAAGCTGCACGAACTGAAGGCCGCCATACAGAACGCGCTGGTCAACCGCATCGTGCAGGACTTCATGGACGTCAGCACACCGCTGAAACAGTTCACCGAGGCGGTTATGCTGCCCGAGGGCACGCCTGGCCGCGAGCAGAACTTCAATCAGAAATCGAACAATCTACAGGCATTTAGCGATCGCGCCTCCAAGACATCGCGCATGGTGGCCGCGGGTGGCGCTTGTGGCAACAAGAAGATCGCCGAGATTTTACTTTCCTCGGCGTCGCAGGTGGACTCACTGACGCCACAGCTCATCAATGCCGGTCGCATACGCATGAACTATCCGGCCAGCAAGGCAGCCGACGAGCACTTGCAGAACTTGAAACAGCAGTACGCCGACACTGTGCTGCGCATGCGCACACTCTGCGATCAGGCCACCGATCCAAGCGAGTTCATCAAGACATCCGAGGAGCACATGCAAATGTACGCGAAGCTGTGCGAGGACGCCATCGTGGCTAAGCAGCCGCAGAAGATGGTCGATAATACATCGAATATAGCGCGCCTGATCAACCGCGTGCTGCTGGTGGCCAAGCAGGAGGCGGACAACTCTGAGGATCCGGTATTCACGCAGAAGTTGAATGCGGCGGCGAACAGGCTGGAGAGCTCGCTTCCCGCAATGGTGGGCGAGGCGAAGCGCGTAGCGACAAATATCAACGATCCAGCCGCGGCGCAGGCATGGAAATCGGCATTCCAGCGGGTGAGTGTGCGAAAAATATGGCATTAGTATATATTTGTGTAACGGTAATTCTTATTTGCAGCTGCTGGGGGATGTACGCGATGTACGTTCCGCCATTGCGCCAACACCGCCACCACTGCCCACTTCACTGCCACCACCGATACCAGAGCTCAGCGCGCTGCACATCTCCAATCAAAATGGTGCGTCTGAGAGTCTAAATGCGAAATTTATATAAATTAATTCAGCTTTGTTTTTTTCTTATTTTATCGCACAACAGCCGAACGCGCGCCACCGCGTCCGCCCTTACCACGCGAAGGCCTAGTGCCTGCGCGCCCACCACCGCCAGAAACGGACGACGAGGACGAAGGCGTCTTCCGCACAATGCCACATGCCAACCAGCCAATTTTGGTAAATGCTGCGCGCTGTCGCTTATAGTTGTGCTAGCTATGAACATACTATCTTTCTTTGTCCACAGATTGCCGCTCGCGGCCTCCACCAAGAGGTGCGCCAATGGTCGTCGAAGGACAATGAAATCATTGCCGCCGCCAAACGCATGGCCATTCTGATGGCGCGCCTCAGTGAGCTGGTGCTCTCCGATTCGCGCGGCAGCAAGCGTGAGTTGATCGCCACCGCCAAGAAGATTGCCGAAGCGTCGGAAGATGTGACGCGCTTGGCGAAGGAGCTGGCGCGCCAGTGTACAGATCGTCGCATACGCACCAACTTGTTGCAAGTGTGCGAGCGTATACCCACCATTGGCACGCAGCTGAAGATTTTATCCACTGTGAAGGCGACTATGTTGGGCGCGCAAGGCTCTGATGAGGATCGTGAGGCCACCGAGATGTTGGTGGGCAATGCGCAAAATCTGATGCAGAGCGTAAGTGAAGTAGAAGTATGTGGGTTCGCTTTCGGAACAAATTTTTTTTCTCAATTCTTTTCCGCAGGTCAAGGAGACAGTGCGCGCGGCCGAAGGCGCCAGCATTAAAATTCGCTCAGATCAGACGAGTAATCGCCTGCAATGGGTGCGTCGCCAGCCGTGGTATCAGTACTAGGCGATTTATGGATTTTTTTTTTAATGCCTCAAAGTGCCCACAATTTATTAACATTTATCGAATGCCACCTTTTTTTAAAGTGTAGTAGTTAAAAAATATTATTTTAAAATTATAACTTAAATTTTTTTAATTTATGTATGTATCAAAATTACAACGAAGAAACGATTTTGTTATAACCATCTTTTGCGACTTGTTTCCTAAGCTTTTAGTGTGCTAACCGAGTTTATTGGAATTATTGAGAATTTAAAGAAACGTAATAAAGCAATAATTTCTACTAAATACATAGATTTAAAAAAATATAAATATAAAAACAAAATAAAATAAAAAATTTTGAAGTTTGTGGAACCCCTATTTTAAATTCAGAATAAACAAAAATGCGTAAGTAGTTTGTTCTAAATCGTACGTCACGTCCAAAAATAGGCAATCATTTGCTGGCATTTTGCCATCAAAAGTTTTTAATTAAACAGTTTTTAACATTGTTTCATTTATTTTATTTTAATTACCTTTTATATTTTGTTTTTATTTTTTTAATTATTTTTGCTTCAAATTTTTTATTTTTATTTTTCCTACATATTTTATTTTTTTATACATTTTGTATTCCGTCATATACTCATATTTTATTTAATTTCAATTAATTTTTTACTTTCCCTATCAAATAGATGTTTGCAGTCTGCCCACAAATTCCAATTTATTTCGCTAATTTGTTGCATGTCAAATTTCATAGTTCGATACATTCCTATGCATTTTTAAGGCCACACATGCACACGTTTGTATGTATGTATGTATGTATGTATGTACGAGTATAATCAAATATTCAGATGTGTGCCGACAAAATACTCTTTTCCGCCATTTTTTCATGTTACAAAAATAAAAATAAAAAAATATTAGTCAACCGCATATTTGTATTGCAATTCGTTTCACGCAGGCGAAACAAAGAGCCTGTAGGAAATGGAAGAGACGAAATCAGCCTTATCGCCATCTCCATGTGAATAAATCGTTCCCATAACATATTGTTTTTGTCTTGTTTTATAATTTTAGTGAAAATTTGTTCACATGGAATTGGCGATAAGGCCGAATAAAATAAAAATAGTTGGGTATAACTTTTCTATTAAAAATTTAAGCGAGAGCGTTATGTTGGGAAACGCACAAAACTAGTAAAAACTTGTAACTTACGCGATTTTTGACACTTCCCGACGGGAAAATTTCCCATCGTCATAAAATTCAAAAAAAAAAATCTATATTCACGACGAAGTCTAGAGGTTCATAAAGCAACCTCTGGACCCGACAGCATACCGACAAGCCTTGAACGGCATTCACAGGGTGTCCAATCAGTTCCGAGTTATATAGACTCTCGACCTGTGAATGCCGTTTCGGGCACACAACCACCAAACATGGACGAGACAGAGCTTCGTCTGCCTCGGTAGACTCGGACCACACTAGCCCAACTTCGCTCTGGCTACTCGTACCTAAGCAGAGTAGATGCAGATGTGCCAAACGAGTGCCCGGCATGCGGGGAGACACCCCATGACTCAAGACATCTCTTCGCATGTCCACTGAACCTCACTCTACTAACGCCTCTGTCCTTATGGACAGACCCTATCGAAGCTGCACGTTTATTGGGTGTCCCGTTAATAGAGCTTGACGACAACGATTTGTAGCCACTACAACAACGATTGAGGGAGGGACTAACCAATCTGGGCGGGGTTGTTGTAGCCGCTACAACAACAACAACAGCCAGTAGGAAGAATACACTTTTTCAGTAAATTTTGCAAGTTCCATTAGAAATTGGTACTGACTATTTGTTATTATACACACCCAAAAAAATCTCCGTTGCGCCTAAAACTATGCTTGCCTTGTAGTTCATCCAATTAGTCTTTAAATGCCACACACTTTGACTGTCACTGGATTGATGACATTTTCATGACATTTTAGAAATTCGCGCAAAATTTTATAAATTGATTTTCATTAATTACGAAAAAGCGCCTGCTTAATGGAGCATTGAAAAATATTTAAAGGCGGAAAAGCCAAACATCATTCCACAAACAAAAGAATGCGGAATTTCATACAATAAAAATGTATGTACATACTCATGTATGGGCAGTTGGCCAAAACAAAAATGTATGTATGTACATATCGCACACCTAGATCTAAAGTGAGCTAAGTCAAAATTCAGAGGGAAATTTCTACATATGTAGGTGTGCGATATGTACATTCATTTCCGCTCTAGGAGAAAACGCCGATTGTAATCAGTTTATCTTATCTAGCGATTTTAAAGTCCAACGCTCACTTCCCTCCCCAGAGTTATCCACTTCAATTTCAGAAGATTAGCAACACGAAATACAGCGTCAGCTGACCTTCAAAGGGACAGATACAACGTACAAAAATAAACGTAATAAAAATAAGCATACAAAATAAAATAGCTAAAGAAAAGAAGTACCTAAAAGGCTAGAACGCCATACATAAGATAAGATACACAAAAATTAAAAATTAAATTAAAGGAAAGCAGAAAAAATCAATTTTTATAAACAACCACATAGTATGCTTTTTCTCGTGATATGGTTATTTCCAGCATAAATTTCCAAGCACTTGAGGAGCAAACACAAACTCTTTTGGGAAGCAATTCGTTGCATTGCAACAATTCAAGCAATCGACGAATTTATTAAAACATTTTTTGACTGCATAAATCTTTACTTTTTTCTTCCCTTTTAAAGCAATGTTTTAAATTTTCTGCATAATAGTAATATTTTTAATACGTACAAATGCTAGTAAAAGGATAAACGCAATTTTATGTTGGTGTTTATATACGCCCTAAAGTTAATTTACTGATTTTGGTGTTTATTTTTATATAGTAAACTTGTTATTGTTTAAGTACGAGATAAAATAGTTAACTGCTTTATGGTAATTGGTCTATAATATGGCAGGAGTAACATAAACTTCCACACTACCTCGCTTATTCATAACTCCAAACTGTTTATATTTAACTGATTTCCGACGCATTTAATTCATTAATTAAAAATTTACCTCAAAATTTCTGCAATGATTTTCTTTGCTCAGCAGCTGCACTGACTTTTAATTTTATGCTTATTTTAGTTATGATTTAGTAATTCTGCTTTCGACAATTAAACTACATTTTTCACTTCACGCGGTATACGATTGGATAGGCAATTCGCTGGCATATAGCCACTCTCGCCCAAATGCTTTATGCAAACATTGCCCGAGGGGCTGATGGTGAGCCAAGTAATTGAACCATGATTGATATTCATGCGCAGCCACGCCTCAGGCGGTATCTGTAATGCCCGGCATACAAAATAGCGTATGACATTCGCATGTGCAATTATAAGCGTGTAAGAGTCATGCTCTTGTTCTGGATAGGCCCGATGAAAGTAACGTCTAAAGGCCGCCTCTATGCGTGCACCATCCCGGAAGAACTGCTGCAAGTAAACAAATGTGTTACGAAAACAATTATAAATTTATTTATTTACACTCCCTTCCGCCCTCAACTCACAGACTTCTCGGGCCGCCAGTGTCCCACAGGCGGTTGCGGTGCTATCGGAGCACCTTCTCGCAAATAGTGACAGTGCTTCACTTTTTCCAGATCATAGTCGATTTCTTTGAGTATCATCTCAGATGTCTCCTGCGCGCGCGTCATTGTCGACACTATAATCTTGTCCCATTTAATGCCCAACTCATGCAAGCGTTGGCCTGTATATTTTGCCTGCAATCGACCCAATTCGGTCAAATGATGATCCTTATCGTGCACGCCCACATCCAAGTATTGCCCATGGCGCACGAGCACGATATGGCGAGTAGCTTTTACGCGCATTTTCTCTAACTCGCTATTGAAGCGATTTTGTTCTTGTGGTGTGTCATTCTTAAGTGGATGCACACAACTTTTCGGATCACGACAATCCCAATCCGGATCCCAGATTGCTGCTTCACTAACTGGCTTATCGGAGTTTGTCCACGAGTTCTGCACCAGGTTGCTGGGCTCGCGCAAACGCTGGTAGTAATAAACAGCCAGGCCGGCGCCGGTACCGACGGCAATGCTACTTAATTTGCGTAAATTATTCCACGCGACCATAATCAAACGTTTTAGTAATGATTTGCGAGAATTTTATAATTTTTATGCGGAGCGAATTTGCAATTAACCTACTGACAGCGCGGTAAACTGTAAACAACGCTGATTGGCATTTGAGGTTAGAGATGTACACATGCATTATCACTTATAAAAGTATCGATAAAATTATCGTGTAAAGTTATCAAAACGGAAGGAAACACGAACAAGCAGGCTTTCCAAGCTTCCAGAAAATTTTAATCATACCTACCAAATTTTTAATAAACTATTTTTTTACGCAAGCGACAAATCCCGCGTTTTTATTTCTGTGTATTTCTTAGTAAACAGAATTATATTTAGAAAATAGTGATTTTTCGATTACAGATAAAAATTGTTATTTATATTTTCAAAAAAAAAAAACAAATATTTCAATCATTTTTACATGTTTCTTACATTACCAACTATCGAAAAAATACACTACATCTCCTATTCTTCCTCCGCCTCTTCATCATCTTCGTTTGACGCTTGCCGCACAAATGCGAAGCTGCCATTTAATCCTGCAGAGGCAACTTGCAAACGTTGCTCTTTCTTTTGCTTCTTCAGTTTGCGTAACGCTTTATCATTGATTTTCTTTCGCTTTTTCTGTGCACCATTCCCCCCATCGTTTTCCACTGCCTCCAACGTATCATTTCCCACATGATCACCGTGTTCCCTCTTTGCAGTCGCTGCCGCCTCTCCTACTGCTTGCTTGCCATTCATCTTTTGCTTGCCCTTGCCATTGCCACGCTCCACCAGCAGCTTGTAGGCGGCACAATATCGTTGATAAACCTGCGTTGAATCGGCACGCATGCTTTGAATAGCTTGTTTAATGTCCACGTCGGCCAGAGCCGATTTCACTTGCAGCCGATGGTGTGTCTTCTGTGCCTGCATCAGCAATTGCAGTAACACGGTATACTCCTTCGGCGATATTTCAGTCCCAGTGCCCGCGGCTAGCGCTTTGATGTGGCTACAGAGCGCGCTTTCTATCTGCTTTAATTGAGTTTTTGCGGTGGACACATCCAGCCGCTGAAGTTCATGATTTTTGTAAAGCACATCGAGTAGTTCGTAGATTTGTATGCGGCGGAAAGCACGCGTTTCCAAGTTCAGACCTTTGCGCGACAGCGACACCGCCAGTTGCCAAACGCCACTCCAGCGCAGCCGGAAAATGTCGGACAATAAAGTGATATTCACGCTTGGATTACGCGATTGTAGGAACTCCTGGAGATATTCTTCGTATAGCGCTAGCACTTTTTTGCAGTCATCGCTTTTCTCTGCAGCAATCTTAATCGCGCTATTCACCAGGAATATAATGCATTTGTTACGCAGCTTATTCATTGCCTCAAAAGCTGCTGCTGGCGATTTCTGTTCGACAATTAGGCGTATAAAGGCCACCACCTCATCCTCCTGGACATCGGCGACATCGTATTTCAATGCCGTCAATTTTTGCAACACCTTTTCCACTTTGATTTGCAGCGGTTTCAGCTCGTCTCCTACACAGTGTGGCAGCATATTGTACAAAGCAAGCATAACTTCAATGGCGATCAGCAAAAGAGGCTGCTGTTGCAAGTAGATTTCGAGCAGATCGAGGACACGTATGCGGAAATGCATAACCGTGGTAATTTTGACACGATAGCTCTTTGACTTCTTAGCAGCTGCACCACCACCGCCTGTCTTGCGCATGGCCTTAAAAGCTTCAGCTAGTGCTTCGTCAAGCTTGTGCCCTTCCTCCTCAGTCATGTCATTCAAATCGATTGAGGCCATATCATCGTCATCGTCGCCCGCGGTAGGCATGCCACCATGTGCCATAAGCGCTTGTGAGACGGCATTACGAAGCCTGTCGGCAGCTGTCGCTTCATCTTCCTCGGCATCATCGTCGTCGTCATCGTCATCCTCGTCTTCTTCATCATCGTCATCATCATCATCATTACCATCTTCATCCTCATCGTCGTTATCATCACCACTACCTTCGGCATCATTATCAGCCTTACCATTTACTAGTTTCGGTGGTGATTTTTTATTTTTACCACCTTGTGTTTCATCATCGTCATCATCAGTATCTTCTTCATCCTCATCCTCACTTTCGTCGCCATGTGCACTTAGAGGATTATGGCCATCCTTCATGTCCAATACAGCTAATATTTGGTGTACAGCGGTCAGGTTCAGGCTCCCGCACAAGTGTGGGAACAGCGCATTGACAATATTCCGCAGCGCCGTGGCGTTTTGTGAAAGTAAATGAAGGAATAAATCCACAACGACCTCAATCCATTCGGGTTCTTCGTCCTGAAAAAATAAACGTTTTTTTTTTATATGTATGCATATAAAAAAATGTTATTTGCACAAAACCGTACGCAACCTACCTCCGTTTCGGAATTCTTGACACTTTCCTTGGTCTTTTGCTTTTTCTTATGTTTCTCCTTCACCCGCTGCATACACTTGAGCAGGTCTTCTATGGCCGGTCCCGCCATTTCCGGTTCGCGGAACAGCTGCAAGCCCATATTGAGTAGCAAAATTTGGAAAACCAATTCCAGTTTATCATCGCTTACTGTCGCTTTCGTCGACTTTGACTTGTCCTTTTTCTTCCCACTGGTTTCACTTCCACCCAAGGCTGTGTGCATTTGCTGCCAATATTTATGCAACGTGTCGTCGTATTGCTTAATACGGAAATATTTCAAGGCATGTTTATGCCCCATACGCTCATTGCAGTGCTGTACCAGCTTCAAGAGCAATTGCTTTTCCTGCTGCAAGTCGACCAAACGACTCTGCATGCTTGTGAAGAACATATTTTTGCATTGTTCGCCAAAGTCATTGCTGAAAGTGGACGCACTCTCCTTTTTGCATATATCCGCCGACTCGTTGACATAAAATATGCCACAGGTGAGCAGAAAGCGCAGTTGCTGCTCTCGCCAATCATATTCTTGGCGCATCGACTTGTGCGCGAGCAAATGCTGCAGCACATAACCAGCATTCATACGTTCGAAATTCAGCCATTCTTCGCTTGCGTTACTCGGATTCTTCGGCTGTAAGCCTAGGAAAATGTTATGATGAAGTGTGTATACTTTCTTAACACCTGTAGTGCCCAGCGCATTGATTAACTGATGTACCACGCGCGTGCTAGTATATTTCTCTATTCCAAATTGGCCGGGAGGCAATATAAGTCGGCGTATTACGGCTACCAGTTGTTTATCATCCGCGAGTTTGGTGCAACAACTCACCAAGGCTTCGAAAAAGTCGTCGTAAAAAGCTTTGAGTGTTTCATCTTTCTTTTGTTTTTGATTTTTTAGCCCTTCAACCAGTAAATGCATAAAGTTTGGGCTTAACAAATCTGCAACAGCCACATGCTTCTTTTCCGTTTCCTGTGACTGCTGCCAATTGTTAAAGACATCTGTGGCAATTTTCAAAGTAATTAATTCGCGTAACTTATTGCTGCTTTCCAAACCAGCATCAACCTGTTCTAACCAGAATTTGTTCAGGTTATCACTTTTAGCTATATAAGAGCCAAAGGCCTCAAAAGCAGGATGTGTCAATAATTGCATATTATTGTGTTCCCAGAATAGGCGATACAGATGAGCATAGCTCTCAGGCTGTAAAAGATCGGCGTGGCCAAAGTGCGCCTTCATGAATTTGGCATTCGCGATTTTAGGAAAACGAAGCTGCGTGGCTATTAGGCAATGCACAGTTTGCAGTGTTTGCTTTGACCATGAACGCTGCAGTTCATTCTGCAATGAAGGCCAAACGACGGTGCTGAATTGCTTTGGAGACAACTGTTTGAAAATGAAGTAAAATTTAGCCAACAAAAATATTTTAGCTGGAGGTTAGTTTTTTAATAAATAAAAAATTGTTTGAATTACAAACAAGCTCTGCATACACACTGGCCGATGCCCTATATAAGCAACTGCATTTTCCAATTACCAATACCTTTTCGACAAGTTCTACGAGTAGTGCATAACCAAGGGATGCATGATAACTGCGTTGTTTTGTAGCCTGTATCAGAGTGTTTGTAATACGTTCCAAATACTCATTGTGCTCGATGTTATCCAAGCGTCCCGCCTGCTGCAACGCACCACAAACCAATATTTTACCAACAACCGCATCAGCATCATCCTGAGCAAAAGGAGTGTTAAATAATCCACTATTTTATGGCCAATGTATGCGCTTACCTTGTTTCCCACGGTCGCGCCTACATGCAGCTCTTTTTGCATCGTATCAAAAATGTGTTCGAGCGTTATTTCCTGCTCGTCGAAAGCTTTAAGAAACGCTACTAAACCTGTGTAAAATCCTGCCCGTGACGTATTAGTCGCAGCGCCACAGCCACGCACTAAACGCTTTAGCGCGTACGTCAGCTCTTTTTGACGCTATTGATGTAAAAATGTTTAAAAAACGTGTACTTATTATATTCATATTAACAACAATCCAACAAACCTTATCGGCCTCCTTGGTTTTGCTCAATTGTTGGAGCAATTGCAATGCCGCTTTCATGCGTTTATCTTCGTCATCGTTGGTTAGTTCCTTAAAATGCTGGAATATGGAAACATTCACTGAACCTCCTGACTTTTCTGCGGGGGGCTTCTCAACTGCTTGCTCCTCAACTTCCCCATTAATACCATTTAAAAACTTTGCCTTCTTTGGCGACTTTGCGGGTGGCGCGCTACTAATATCAGATTCTCCATCATCCTTTGCAGGCAAATCCCGTTTCGCTGCTTTTTTCGCCGATTTAATTTTCATTCCTGTAGAATTCACCTAATCCTGCTGCTATTTCTGCCAAAAAACAATCCACGATCAACAAAGCACATGTGTATGGAAGACTGCCAGATTTGACAGCGCTATGCTAAGAAGAAGAAGAGTTTAGGGGTTGCCAAGTCAATACACAAAAGGACAGCAAACATTTTCTCCAAAAATATTTTTATAACACAATTTTTTTTAAATTTTCACTAAAACGCATGTTAGAATACCTCTTTTTCGTTATTTAAAACCATTAAATGAAATGCTTGTTTTTAACCAAAAATGTAGAATATTCAAATATTGAAATCAGCAGTTTGGATGCCAAACGTTTTCCTCTGTTGAAGTTTTAATGGCACTGTTTTTACTGACAGCAGCAGCACTGTGTGTGTGTTTTCTCCTTGCCCAGCATTTTTCCGCGATTCCAGCTAAAAATCAGGAAAATAACTTAAAGGAGCCATATTAGGCAAAATTAAAGCCGCCTGTTAAGTTCAAGCGCAAGAACAATGAAGAAAGTATTGATGGTTGCGGAGAAGCCGTCGCTGGCTGGCTCACTCGCCTCAATCCTATCCAATGGGCGAAGCACGACGAAAAAAGGTTTGTATCCACCCCGCTTTAGCGTATCGAGCTGCTAAATAGAGAAATATAAAATTTACTACAATTTATCCCCTTTGCAGCATCCAGTAATTCCTGCTCAACTCATGAATGGGTTGGTCCATTCCGCGATGAACGCAGCGTATTGTTTCGCATGACGTCAGTCTGCGGTCACGTCATGTCGCTCGATTTTGTTGGCAAATACAACTCTTGGGATCGCGTGGATCCGGCAGAGCTATTCGGCTGTCCCACTGAAAAGAAAGAAGCCAATCCCAAGCAGCATATGCGTTCATTTCTGGCGAATGAAGCGAAAGGCTGCGATTATTTAGTACTATGGCTCGATTGTGATAAAGAGGGCGAGAATATTTGTTACGAAGTTATGGATGCGGTATCGCGTGTAATACCAAATGTATACAGCCGGAATGTAACATATCGCGCTCACTTTTCTGCCATTACCGAGAAGGATATCAAAGGCGCTATGGAAACGCTTGGTTATCCCAACGAAAACGAATCAAAATCTGTGGATGCGCGGCAAGAGCTGGACTTACGCATTGGTTGTGCGTTTACACGCTTTCAAACGAAATTTTTCCAAGGACGTTATGGCGATTTGGACTCATCGCTGATATCATATGGACCTTGTCAAACGCCTACGCTGGGATTTTGTGTGAAGCGGCATGATGATATACAAACGTTTAAACCTGAGAGTTTTTGGTATCTGCAATTACTGGCTGGTCAGCCAGAAGTCACGCTGGAATGGTCGCGTGTACGAGTATTCAAAAAAGAGATTGCCATGATGCTGATGCAGCGCGTGAAGGAGCAAAAGGAAGCGCTGTATGTGTGATTTTATTTACTTGAATAGCTATATTTAATTTTGCAGTGCATACTTTTAGGGTTGAGAGTGTGACTACTAAAGAACAGTTCAAGGGACGTCCACAAGCGTTGAACACAGTAGAATTGATGCGTATTGCAAGTTCAGGATTAGGTATAGGACCCTTTCAAGCCATGCAAATCGCCGAGCGATTATACACGCAGGGCTATATCAGTTATCCGCGTACAGAAACCAATCAGTATCCCGAAAATTTCGATTTGCAGTTAGTTAACATGCGATTTTAAATAGCTAGGAGCCCCATGATTATTTATTGTACAATTGCAGCGCCGTTTTGCGTCTGTTGCAACCCTCCTCCGAATTTGGCGACGAGGCACGCAGCATATTGGGCGATTTCAATTCGCCACGCAAAGGTAAAGACGCTGGCGACCATCCACCGATCACGCCCATGAAGCTGGCCAGTCGTGGCGATTTCGATAAGGACACCTGGCGTGTATACGACTTCATTTGCCGTCATTTTCTTGGCACCGTGTCACGCGACTTGAAGTACCGCACCACCACCGCTAAATTGCGCGTTGGCATGGAGACCTTCACCTTCACCGCGAACGTATTAATCGACCCGGGTTATACTAAAGTGATGACTTGGCAGGCATTCGGACGCGATGAGGCTTTACCACCCTTTGTGGAGGGTGAAAAAGTTGCTATTAACGATGTACGTATGGCTGAATCTCAGACAGGCCCACCGGATTACCTCACCGAGGCTGAGTTGATTACACTCATGGAACAGCATGGCATTGGTACAGATGCCTCCATACCAGTGCACATCAACAACATTTCGCAGCGAAATTATGTGCGCATTGAGACGGGACGTAAACTCATACCCACAACTCTGGGTATAGTGCTGGTGCATGGATATCAAAAGGTAAATGTCGCATGCTCTAATATGTAGTGAACGCTTGAACGTAACCTCTTGCATTTTAGATCGATCCTGAGCTCGTCTTGCCCACTATGCGCTCCGAAGTGGAACGTATGCTGAATTTGATTTCCAAGGGTTCAGCGGATTTCCATGCTGTGCTGCGACATGCCATTGAAATTTTCCGCTTGAAGTTTTTGTATTTCGTTAAAAATATTGCCAGCATGGACAGCCTGTTCGAGGTGTCCTTCTCGCCATTGGCCGAAACGGGCAAAGCGCATTCGCGTTGCGGCAAATGTCGACGTTACATGAAATACATACAAGTAGGTCACTAAAAATAAAAAATTACTATAGTCGATAGTTTGCAAAATTTCTAATCTCTGTTTTAGACAAAACCTGCACGCCTGCATTGCTCGCAGTGCGACGAAACCTACTCGCTGCCGAATGGCGGCAATGTCAAAGTTTATCGCGAGTTCAAATGTCCGCTAGACGATTTCGAGTTACTGGCTTTTACAACAGGCGCAAAAGGACGTTCATACCCATTCTGTCCATACTGCTTTAACCATCCGCCATTCAGGGATATGCCCAAAAATGGTGGCTGCAATTCCTGCACGCATCCAACCTGCCCGCATTCGCTTAATACGCTGGGTATTTCCAGTTGCGTGGAGTGTGAACATGGCATACTTGTACTGGATTGCACCTTAGCGCCTAGTTGGAAATTAGGCTGCAATCGCTGCGATGTCATTATCAATTGTTTCAAGGGCGCCACCAAAGTGACGGTGGAAGGTAAGTCGTTACTTAAAATTTTAATGAATGTATACTTGATATTTTGGCGCTTCCACTTTTTTGCTCTCTTTCAGAACAAAAGTGCACGGAATGTGGCGCACAGCTAGTCAATGTGGTCTACAAGTCGGATAAAACGAAATTCAAAGATAGTAGCGAAGAAAAAAGTGGCTGCGTTTTTTGCTCGGCCGACTTTGCGCATTTGGTGGAGAAACATCGTGCGGTGGCATCGCGGCCAGTAAACGTGCGCGGTGGTGGACGTGGCGGTGGGCGTGGTGGTGTCAAAGTTGGACGTGGTGGTGCTGGCGGCGGAAGAGGCGGGCGCGGTGCAAGACAACCAAGGGATAAAATGGCACAGTTAGCAGCATATTTCGTTTAAGTATTAATTGTGTGTTCTTTACAAGCAATGTGGAAAAGCATTATACAAAAATCAGTAGCTAATGAATTGTACAATTTCATCGTATGACTTTTTATATATGTACATATATTCCTACAAATATAAAAGTTGTGTACATACATGTATCCTTGAAAGTGGATGTATGTAAGTTTAATGTGTACGTACTTTTAATTGCATTTATTAAAAATGAAACAAAAAATTTATTTAAATAACATTAGTAAATGTATGTGAAAATACGTAAAAAGCACTAAGAAAAGCATTTAATTATCGAGAATTGTGCATCAAAAAACTGCAAGCCATAGAAAAATTAAAGAACCGATTATGAAGAACGAAAATAAAATGTCTTATTATTGGGGAAGTTTTTATGTTTTCAGTAGTAGTTTTGTGAACTTATTAAGAAATGTTTTTTTTTTAATATAAAAAAATATATAAATAAAAGTAAAAACTAAAAACAAAACATTGGGCCGTATGAGTAAAAATAAGCAATTGCTTTTTCTTAAAATTTCAGACCTTTTACTCCATTCATTCAAACAAAACTCAAGTAAAAGGTATGGAATTTTAAGAAAAAGCAATTACTTAGTTTTTATTCATACGGCCCATTAGAAAGTATCACTTTATAGTTTTTCATTCATTAAGAACTTGTAGTTTTTATCGTTTGAGTTTTTAATTAAATTAACAAATTTCTTTCAAAAGTTTTTTCTCATTAATTAATACATATTTATTTTCAACTTTTTCATGTCCCTGTATTAACCACAAATTGTTTCAATCAACTCACATTCCAGTGAATCGCCTTACAAAAATAATTGCAAATCTCTCGTCTACACATAAGTCACAAATTGACACCCGCTCCAACCCCAAAATATGAACTTAACAAACAAATTAAAGTAAGTAATTTAAAATTACATACCTGCTGACGTACATAGGTATGTACATATATACGCTCTGTTGATGGCCAGCTCGCAGTGGCCTTGCTTTCGAGTCAGCGAAGCGACCGCAAAACTTTCCAGCGGCTGCTGAATTACACACAAAATATATAACAGACAGCATCGTATAGTTCTATATTCATACGTATGGAAGCTTGTATGTATATATGTATGTACGTATTTGTGTGTCTGTAAACAACACACGAGCTAATGGGTGGGAGTTTTAAAGATTGCAACCTTACAGGCGGTGCATACGAATGTCAGGTACAATGCAACCATTTTTTAGGAATATCCATTCATACAGATGTAACTGTCATGTTTACCCTTTTGCGCATGTGTAGCGTTGAACTTGTAACTGAAATTGAAAATTTTCAAAATTAACAAAACAAAAGAAAAACTTGACAAGAATTTGCTAGTACATAGTTATTTAGTTACTTCCCACAATTAGTTCTTCTAATGTCAAAGTTATGGAAAAAAATGGAAAAAGCGGCAAGCAGCCTTGTAATATGTTGCATGTGCAAGCTTACATATGCATGTATGTATGTATGTACTTATATAAGAACAGTACGTATGTACATACATAGTATGTACATAGGTAGGTATTTACGTGTGAGCTGCACGTCACAATAAACACACGTGCATACATACACATGTACTAGAGATGGGCGCGGACTAAATATTCAATCCCGATGCAACCCATTCCGGCTTACAATTTTGAGGTCCCGATCGTTTTTCAGAATTGAAGCGTGGGTCCCGATATCAATCACTAAGCGAAATTCTCATGGCTTTCAATCTAACTGAAAAAACATATTCACCCTCATTGCGAGAGTCGTGTCGAATGCAAGTCGGTTTTTCGATAGTCGAATCGTATAGAAAATCTCACGTCATTGCCTAAAATTTCCACTCGACTAGTGTATTAAAACGGAAAAACTTGGCAGCACTGTATAGTTTTCGACGATTTTCGTCGCTTACTTATTTCAGCACGACAGTAGACAATGCCAATGTTGTCGAGTCGTACAATTTAGCCTAATTTACGACTTACGCAATGAGGCTGAATAACTATATTGAAATAATATGGCAATAACCAGATCAAAAATCAATCCTTTGGAATATGTAGAAAGTATTTGGTGCCGCCCACTGTAGACGAATGGTTTGAGGAGCGCATTACCCTGAAAAAGTCTTCAAATTAAAACAATTTGCCGTTCGGCGGCGTGGTCCCTACTTTTGCATGCCAACATAAAGACGGACTAAATGGAGGAGCAGTAGTTATTCTGTTTTGACTTTGCCGTACGTTTTCTTCCCAATATAACGTTAAAGATGCGAATTTCATACAACGTTTTTAAAGTTTTTTGTCAAGTCCCGTCCGCTAACTTTTAAGGGTATGTATTTCCGATACCGGCTATACCGATATCCCAGGCCCATCTCTAATATGTATGTACATTATTTGGTTTCATTGTTGGCATTTCTTTGGTTTAATTTACGATGTATTGTTTACTTTTATTTATGTTGCACTAACAACATTTATGCTGCCATTAATGACGTCAAATTGGCTTCCGTTAAGCATTTTCTTTGTCTCAAGATATTCGTGGATGATTAGATTGAATATATATTTATATATATATATATATATTTATTGATGCTTTGTACACAATTTTCTTTCAAAAAAAAAATCGTAAAAGCACGTTATCTTTATTGTTGGTGCGAAAAAGTAGATTAGTGACAATCCATGGCAAAAATAATCTGGCATCTTTTCATCAAATTTGAAGGTATCTGGGTAAAATTTTGCCTTATAGTGGTAGGTAATCCTTCTTATGCCCGTTGGACCGCGATAATGCGGATACTCTTACGCGTGTACAAGCTCGAACTATGTTCTTGTTTATTCTCGCACCCAAATAGTTTTCCATCGTTTGCACTGTTTTTTTATATTAGTAGTGCAATGAATTCATGCGTTTTGCAAGCTTCTGTGACAGCTACTATAACCTAACCTCGCCTTTGCAGCATTTGCATTAACTTCTCTATACACAACCGCAATTATCTGGCAAAAGCATGAAACATTTTGGCATTTCAGCTTTATTTTATACTTATAAGCGCTTATTTTCGTTTTCGCGGCATATTCGCATAATTCAACCCAACCAATTTCCTATTCTTCAAATAGCAGTTGAATGAGATTTTGCTTTCAAAAGACTCTCGTTGCGAACTTTCCTATAGAAATGTTCAACGTGGCGTATGAATTACGCGTACTTTTTTGGGCTATACAATAGAGCTGGAAAACTATCGGATGGCACTATCCTAATTCCTTTTAATATGGGAAATAATTTAAAAAGCAAATTTAATATTTCGGTTAAATGTAGTGGAATTATAAACCTTATTTGTAGCAGTTCCCGTTAAGTACACAATAAAAAGCATTTACACTAACTTCGATGATTTTACGTTTGTATCAACAAATTTCGAATAAACTAGTATAATTTTGTTAAGACTATTGTTAATTTGTTCGCTCTCTTTATTGTTTTTCTAATTTAATGTGCTTAGACAAATTTGTATTTAAAAAATTACGTGATTAAGCGCTATAAATCGATTTTATCAGTCTCTGCTCGTGTCATACGAGTTACATACATACAAACATGTGTATGAATACGAAGCTGTGTCCAAATTGTAGTCTTTATTCTATTTTTTACACTTAATTATATAGCGTTTTATCACTTCAGTTAAAAGCGTATAAAAAAATAGAGGTTATGCTTTACTTGCGGCAAATTTCTAGGATTTTTCTGCTTTGAAATTTTAATTGGCAAAAGTTAAAGCACTTGTTCAGCTACCGATTTTACGCTTAATAGAAACATGCATATCCAAATATATAAAAAATATTATAAAATAAAATTGATCTTTTCAACTCATTTATGTTTGTTTAAATAACAATTTTTGCCACTAAAACGAAAGGTATTGTATTTTGTAATAAGAGTTTTGCTTAGCTTGAATTGAGCATATTCCTCCATAAATTAATAAATTCTATAAAAAATAATAGTTATTAAATCATTATTGTTAAATATTTTAGCTTTTAAGCATACATACATATGTACATACATATATTTATTTTCCGAATTGGATATGCGCTGACTCATGAACTTAAGCCAAAAAACATTGCCTTATCCGTACAAATGTGTTTTCTTTTCTCTTAGGCAAAATACAAACATATGTACATACGTACACTAGCAGAAATTTAGTATGTCACATTTGTGTACTTTCCATTGGCCCGCACAATTACTATTTGTTTATACATTTAACATAAAAACGACATTTGTTGCTTCCATTCATAAACAATAGAATTTATTGTACATACGCATGTAAAAAAAAAAAAAAATTTGCGATTACTAAGCAAATACGCACAACTTAAGGTTTCTTAAATAGATTTGTTAAAATACACTCTTCCTCTGTAACTAGCAAAAAAAAAAGCCTATTTGCCTGCTGTGTCGCAATTTTGATATTTACTCAACGCAAAATTTGCTCAAGTCTTTTGTATCATCTCATGGGAACTAAACAAAAAAAAAAAAAAATGGCGAGGAAATTCACAAAAAATTAAAACTTGCAAATTTTTACATTTAAGCGCAAAGAAAGCGTTTGATTGTGAGCGAATAATAGTTAAATACAGCACAAAGAAATTCTTGCCGCCATCATAAAGTAGGCTGAGAAATGTAAATGACCGCTGAGGTGCAATAAAAACTGCAAAAATAGAAAGAAAAAACAAGTGTGCTTACCCTGCCCATCAGAGATCGCAATAGGTTGGCGGTCAACTAAAACTACTTCACGCATCAAACTTGTATTACTTTTGGATACCTATAAGCAAATACTAAACACCAAAATTATTTACTTACTCGCCACATTTCAAAATCAACCACAAATTGACACTTTTTTCTATGTCACACAAAAATTTCAGTCATTTGTGGCATTGGCATGTGTGTATGCGGGAATTGGGAGGGACGCTTGCGACATTTGGTGGGTGGCTGGCAGCGATGCGGCATATGATAAAGAGAAGCATTGTTGTTTTTTTTTTTATTATTATTTTGTAGGCGGCAGAAGCGCGCACGTACGGCCATGAGCGGGTGTAAACTGACTGATATATGTATGTATGTACATACACATGAATGCAGAGCTACAGTGGTGGAAAAAATAATGAATGTTGACTAGTTTCGGACATTTTCCTTTGTTTATTTGATGTTTAATATTTTATTTTTATAAAAGTCCACATTTAAAACTTTGTGCAAAAATTATAAAAATTCAGCAAATTTTCTCTAAAGTACCCAAAAATTTCAAATTTTTTATGAAGAATTGTTGGAAAAACTGTAGGTATGCAGTTTTATAGCCCATTTGTAGGATAAATTAGGATAAAGTGTAAGTTTCACGACGCCTACTATAGCTTCCTATCTAAAAAAAAACATGTAAATGAAAATTTAAACGCTCCACGTTTATAAAATTTCGGTGAATTTTAACAAGTTTTCATCAAAATTTGAAACTTTTTAATCAGATTGTTTTTGATTTTTTTTTTTAGTATGCAATTTTGTAGCCCATTAAAATTTAGTATTTATGACTTACCATTGATTTTTGGCAATTTTTTGCTTACGCTTTTTCTTGTATACAAAGTATTTATGTTCGAAAAAATTTTTTGTGATGAAAATGTGCAACGCCTTCCACAAAAAAAAATTAACGGTAAGTCCTAGCTACTTCAAACTTGCACTTTATTTTACTAAAACTTATTGGCATGCAGGCCGCATACTCAAAATATTTCTAAGGCGGATTCATCGTTCTATTTCTACCTTTAAGTTGAAGTAGAGTGAACATCTCAGAAGCGTTCAAAGCTTTTTTCAGTTGCTCGCCCAGAGACAGTAACACTACAACAACCACATGGAAGAAAACTTGAATCCGATTTAAGAAGTGCAATTAAAAAGCTCAACATTTTGATTTAACTTTGTCGAACTTTCCTAATTTTTGTATAAAGTTTGACTTACATGATTTTTGTTAAATAACGAGCTAAACAATAAACATTAAATACGCGCACGGGAAATATCCAAAGAATGGTAAAATGTCTCTTCCCTATTTACAATTTCGCCACTGTATATACATGTTTTAGTATATATTTGTAGGTACTTTTTTAACACAAAATCTACAAAGCTAAGAAAATTTAACAAAGTGTAAATAAAAGTTGTAAAATACATACTATGTAGATTTTAGTCAAAAAATGTACAAGTGTATTTATTCGCACATACATATGTACACACTTAAGTACATGCCTGCCTGTGGTTCTATGCGCAAGCGTATGCGTGATTTTGTAGAAAATTCTCACGCGAAGTCAAACACATGAAAATGCTAAATAAACATTAATAAAAATACAAATAAACGTTTTTTTTTAGTTTTGTGGCTGAGAAGTTTGAAGTTGACAATTTGGAACCGGCAATCATCAGCGCCAAATACACAAAGTACGCATACATACAGTGACTCAAACAAATGACCACGTATTAATTTTCTTCAAATATTCGTAATGATTTTCGAGCTAAATTTTTTTGTCATTTTTCTATAAAAATATCGTGCTCTAAAGACTCACATTAAAAAGTTGAAATTTTGATAAAATTTTGTGGAATTTTCCACATTTTTTTTATTTATTTATTTATTTATTTAAAAAAACACGTGGTCATTTGTGTGAGTCACTGTATACCTCTCTAATAGCTTATTTACGTGACCGTAACTGCGATTCGAAATCATTAAGTTTTCAAATTAGGGCAATATATGTACATATCGCATACGATCATCAAAGGTGACACAACTCAAAATGACAAATTCGTCAGAAAATGCGAAAAACTATTTCTTAGCACCTGCTAATCATTAGGTTTTTTCAACAAATTATAACAAAAGTATGCTCCAGCTTTTGCTGAAATCTAAAAAAAATCTCTGTGCACATTTTTAATGCATAATTTTAAAAATGCTAAATTTTGAGTTGTGTAACTTTTGAAGATCGTGTGCGATGTGTAAATTCTCTTATGACTCTAATGATATCTCTCAATTTACTTTCAAGTATTTTCGTCTTATCTAGATCCACGCACTGTTTGCTTACAGATCTGCTAGGAGGCATTTAAAGCCTAACCTCCCACTAGTCTTTACTTGATACGTCCTATTCAAAATGGGTGGTTTTATCTGGCTTATCTCGCAGCGCATACTGCTGCCGTAGTAGCGAAATACCACCACCACCTGTTCACGCGTGAATAAGAAAGTCAAAAATGTCCGCTATGAGTCTAGGGCTAACGGTGGACGGGGAACCGCCTTCAAAAGTAGTGTTTCAGAAGAATGTCTCTTCCTTTAACTTTCTGGCAAACGATGCTGAATAGTATCGATCAATCTAAAATCAAAAACTCACTTATCGATAAATATTGATTAATCGATAACATACTTTACTACCGTTAAATAAAACTCGATTTATCGTTAATAGTCGATTGGTCGATAAATATCTATAAAGTTATGAATAATTCGATATTGTACGACCGACTTATCGATCAAAATCTAAAAATTCAATCAATTTATCAAAGTCGTTAGAAAAATAAAAAATTTATTTACCGATAAATAGTAATGCTTCAATAAAGTAATTACAAACATCATCGCAAATATCGATACTTGATGAACAGATAAACTTTTATGCTGAAAAAATTGATGAATTAAGCATAAGCGTCGATACTTACGATAAGACATAATATTTCAATGTCAAAAAATCGAATTATCGATAAATAGTTCATAGGGGAAAGCTTTATCGACAAATAATATTTATTTATCGCGTTTTTTTCGGTGAATTCATCTTATTTATTTACATTGATTTTTATTTATCTATAGATACGTACAATACCAAATCGATATCGATAATCGTAACGGCAAATAATTCCATTTTCATTGATGATTTACCGATATCGGTAATGAAGCTATGATTCGGGCCCGATTCAGTCATTCGACCCTTTCCGGTCTTCACACAAATCGTTGCCTAATACCACCGACCCAAAATAACCGTTAAATATGCAGATCTTTGTTTTTCCATCATTGCTAAATCTTTATTTTTTTATTTTTATTTTTCGATCAAGAATAATCATTAAATTTGAATTATTTTCCGTCAAATGTATTCGTTATATTTTCTTTTCTATTTTTTTCGATCAAAAATAAGCGGTATTTTTAATTTTTATTTTTTAAGGATTATTTAGATCGAAATAATAAAAATCATAAAATAACGGTTAAATCTTATCAGAAAACTATAAGCCCAATTTTAACTCCTACTTAAATTATGATTTTTATTATAAAAACCATAACCGCTAATGTCCCTGCTTAATACGGATCCTTTCGCGGAATGACTTTTAACTACTTAGCGCAATATTCACTAAGTATAAGTTAGTAAGAGTAGTGGTCAATTGCAAATTATTTAGTTACTAAGTAAGTAAGCCTCTAAACCTTACATCCACTAAGAAGGGAAAAACAAATTTTGCCTAAACAATTCACGCCTCGGCGTTGTAAATTAAAAACAGTAGCAACAAATACGAAGAACAACTACAAATCTGTAAAAAAAGGCAACATCCACACAGCGACTAAACATACTAATGTGCACAGCGGCAAGTTTGAAAGTCTGAGAAGCGCCGCCGCCGCAACAAATGGACGCACAACAATAGCGCGGTTTTCTCCAGATATAAAAGCCGTTAAGCATCTGGTAAACGACATTCAGTCAATCGAATTCGAAGTTAAAGGTAGATAGTAGACGGAAAGCGTTACATTTTTCGTGTGTGTGTGTGCGATAGAAACGTTCAAGTAAATAGAAGCGAAATGAAGTGTGCTGTAAGTGAAAAAAGGATCCCATTGTGATTTCTAAAAAAGGACTAAATTTGAAATGCTGTTCTCAGCAAATGCTTTGTGAATTTACTAAACAAAAATGCTAAATATTTAACTGTTTTTGTGTTTTCTTTCTTCTCGGTGGATTCGCCGTACGCGCTATTGTGTGTGTCTGATCTCCCCGACACGAAACAGGCCCTAATCACCGCCATCGTGCTCGCAACCCTCTGCGCTGCCACAACAACAACCTACGCGGAATCCGTGCTGGATAACGCGGCGATCGCAGCGTCCACGAACGATGAGCAGCTGGATGCGGCAGCCAGCAGCTTAAATCCCTTGGAGGATACACATAAGCAGGAGAAACGTTATGTTGGTGGCACATGGGATCCGTACTCGTCGCGACTAGGACTCGGTTTGGGTAGGCAACGGCGCATAAAACGCGATAAAAAAACAAATTAATAAATTCTTTTTTTCGCATTCCAAAGAGGGCAGCTCGCTGTATAATTCCGGCTATGGTGGTTATGGCAACTACGCTGGCTACAGCGGCCTTGGTGGACTCGGCACCGCCGGATATGGTGGTTACGGCGCTTACGGCGGCTATGGGAATAACGCAGGCTACGGTTCTGCCGCCGGCTATGGTCCCTATGGCGGCTATGGCAGCCCTTACTCCTACTATAATGCACGTTTTGGTGGCGGTTATCCCTACTCGCGTTTGGGTTACAATTATCCCTCCAGTTACTACAGTGGCTACTCCAATAGCGTGGTGGGCGGTGGACTGGGCGCTCTTGGCGCTGGGGTAGTACCACCTGTGGCTGGCGTCGGTGGCGCAGGAGGCTATCAGTATGGGCCGGGCATCTCTGGCACAGTGTACTAGAGGGTCGATGAAGCGAACGGACAAAATAGTGAGAGCGCAAACTCAGACAAGGCTGCTAAGTTTGTTGAGGAAGGCTGCCAATTAATTTCGACTTTGTAATGCAAACTGATTAATAGAATAAACTCGAAGTATAAATATTTTTTAAAAAAATAAAAAAAAAACATTTTTTTTTTTCAAATTGTTAAGGGCCATTACTTTCGACCTTGAATGTAAAAGAGCAAAAAGTAAGAAATTAACCTTGCCGATCACCCCATGTTAAAATTCTTGCAAACTTACCAGTTTAAAAACATTTCGGTGTAGTTAGAAATCCTTTACATAAAAAAAATATTAAGCATAAGATTTTAAAATGGTTAACACGTCTTGTCAATCCCCTAATTATATTCAGCCTCATTGCGTGAGTCGTAAATTATGCTAAATTGTACGACTCGACATCATTGGCATTGTCTACTGTCGTGCAGAAATAAGTAAACGACGAAAATCGTCGAAAAATATGCAGTGCTGCCAAGTTTTTCCGTATTAATACACTAGTCGAGTGGAAATTTCAGGCAATGACGTGAAGTTTTCGATACGATTCGACTCTCGAATAACGACTTGCATTCGGCACGACTCTCGCAATGAGGGTGATTGATTATTATTACATCAATATTTTTAAGGTACAATTAAATGTCTACATACCAGCGTGGATTTCAGGACACAATTTTTATTTTTATTTTATATACATATATTTAATTAATCAAGCGCATAAAATAAAAGTGTTATGTGTGATCATAAGGGTTAAATTAAATTATATCGACGAACTTAGCACAGAAAAGCAATTCTTGAGCAAATGAGAGTATCTTTTTAATCAATTAAAGTTAAAATCTAACGTCACCATCGTCCTTGCGGCTAAAAGCAGTCAGTTTTACAGCCAATTTTTAATTTTGTGGTTTTGATATTTTTATGATTTTTTTTTCTTTTCACTCCTGAATCTGCGTTCACATTTCACTATAGGCCACGTGTTTATCTTTGATTATCCAGAATGAATCGACGATTTCGCCATTTTTATCATCAGAAACTTGTTCGAAATAGAGATGAGTGCGATTGTAAGCCTTCATGCGGGTATAGCCGTAGTCCTGGCGAGGAAAAAAAATTAATTCAATATTAACAATTAAAAAATAAATTGAATCTCCAAAAAAAAATCACTCGAAGCCTTTTTCATGACACTTACATTGCTGTGGAAAGCGTTCCACTCTGGCAAAGTTTCGGAAAACGGTTCACGTTCCTCCTTGCAGCCAGCTGAGCCAGTTATAATCTGTATCGGCGCCTTGGCATTGGTGTAGGGTGCTTCTGCAGAGCCATTGTATACCTTGAAATCATAGATGGGCCAGAGCCGCGTGTAAAAATGTTCATGTGCGAAAATCTCAACATCCACGAAGTATTTATAGAACAAATCCTCCAAGCCGAACAATTTTCCCAGCGGCAAACCCTGTCGTATGAATGTCTCGAGTTTGTCGTTGCAATCGTACTCTTTGTTGTCGCTGCAATACATCGGCCGATGACCATAGGTGATGACCCATGGACGTTGCGCACGGTTCTCTGGCTTGTTGGCCTCGCGTAAATCATTCTCCAGCCACTCGAACTGTTTGGTAAGCAACTTGAGCCCATAATCCAAAAAGTAGTATACCTCGGTGGAGAAGGATACAAAATGTATGGGTCCTAAATCGAAGCTATACCAAAGGCTATCACCCTCGCCGGGCATATTGAAGCGTGTTTTGTAATTTGAAAAGTTGCTACACGCAAAAATTATTATTATTCATACAGACTGAGTTATTCAAAACTATTTACACTCACTATTTCTCCTCATGATTACCAGGGCATACCATGTACGGCACATAGGCGGCAATGGTTTCCACTTGTCGCATGAATTCATCACCCACGCGCGCATTCTGGGTATCCATGTCGTAAGCAAAGTCGCCGACGTGTATGATTGCATCGTACATGCCTTGTTGAGTGTCCTGCTGAAGGCGCGCCAAGGATTGTGCATTCTCGTTGCCCATGTCGCCGTAAATGGCCAAACGTGGTTGCCAGTCGCTGCCAGCGGGTGGTGTGGTGAACGTGAAGCGTGCTGACCAACCAAAATCGCTGCCACAAGAATATTCATAGCGCGTTTGCGGCTTCAAGTCACGCAATGTCACCTTGTGTATGTATTGGGAGTGCGCCTTGGGTCCGCCATCGACAAAATGCCGCGAGTCGCCAGTAATGTTGATTAAACGTTTGGTATCGGTATAGTTTTCGCTATACAACACCACTGATTGGTTGGTGGCGTCGCGGGTGGACCAAGTGACTGAGATTTCGTTGTTATTTGCTTTTGAGAAATAGAAGAAAGTTTGATAAAAGTCAGTTATGTGAGGTCACATTTAGCAAACAAACACTAGGATCAATTATCACATATCAGCCACATAGCACATTGCACCAAATCAAATCAAAGGAATTGAGAGACATAAGGCAAAAAGTGCATCAAATCAATTCCAAACCGATCACATCAAGCCAAGTCAATCATTTTGATTTATATTTATTTATTTATTTTAGTTAAACCAAGTCAATTCATACAGAGGCTACATCAAGTCGTCGAGTCAGATCGATCACATCAAGTCAAGAGAAATCAAATTTCATTACATCAATCAAATGATGTGGTATCAAATCAAGACATGAAGCAAAGTCAACCACCACTACATCAAGTCAGTTCAAATAACAGCAACAACCCAGCAAACACAGTTTTAAACGTTTGAGAAAAATGTATTTCTCAATGTGATTTCAAATTTTTTTCTCAAATGATTCTCAAATTGATTAATTTTACATTTGAAATTCATTTGAGGTTGATTTGAAGAAAGATGTCAAGTATCAAACGATATAAAAATGCGCAGTTAAATCAAAAATTGTAAGAATAAAATTAAGATCAATAGAAAAAAAAACAATGAATAGAAAAAAAATTCAAAGAGAAAGCCCACAAATAGTGGATTTGATGTTTTCGCGATTGAAAAAGCTGCAGCCCTTCAAGACGAATTTATTATAAATTACTTTATCTTAATTGTTTCTTTTATTATGTACATTCATATGTACATCGCGAAGAAAAAACAAATATGAAATATACATTTCCTATGATAAATTTTATTTCCACACATGATAAAAACATAGCAAGATAGAACCGTTCTCTCAATTTGTCGGCCATGATTTTTTTTTTGAAGTTTGCCAACATTTTAAAATCATATAAAAGTGAAAATAAAAAATTGAAATTGTTCGAAACTGTTGTTGCTTGAGATTGAAAATGAAAGTGTGTGTGTGAGTTTGTGAGTAAATTTAAAAATTAAATTGTTTGGAAACGTCAAGAATTTCAAAAGTGAATCTCAGCGGTTCTACCTTACTATATTTTTATCATGTTTCCACATTTGAAGTACATTTGATAAATAACCTTTGAAATTGATTTGAGAGTTAACCATATTCTCAAATGGAGATCAAACTCCCCTTTTTATTGAGAAAGCTGTAATTTTCAAATCAATATCAAATCATTTTCAAACGTTTGAAATTTGAGAAAGGCTTTGATTTCAAATCATTCTTAAATGTATATCAAACCTAACTGTTTGCTGGGAAGCCAAGGCAAATCACATCACATCCTTTCAAATTCAGCAATAAAATACGAATATGCAGGGATATCTATCATTCAAATCACAACTAGTCAAATCAAATCGAGTAATTTAAAATCACATCAAACCCAAGTCAGAGAAGATGAAATCCATTTCAGTGATGTCAAACAAATCAGGTATATTTGGTGTGATTAAATAGCGTTATATTTATAATTATAACATATTTATATATGTAAAAATACATTTGGTAGGTAATCAGAGTCGAGTTGGCTGAACTGCATTAAATTTTTGTATTTAATTTTTACAAACACTTGCTTGAATATTTAAAAAAAAATCTATGTGCATCAATTTTTCTCCAATAAAAAATATGTTAAGATTTTATACGATTTGTTTCAAATATACGGGCATGTGCGGCAAATCGTATGATTTGCAAACCTTACTTTAGAGATTTATTTACAAAGAAGCAAAATTTCGCACTGAATCGATGGATATGGATGGATGGATATTTATTACTTTTCATAAAAATATACAAAAATAGTACGATTTGCAGCACATGCCCGATAGTCAATTTATTTTAGATCAATTAAAAAATTTTGAATTACAATAAATATTGCACAGCCTTATATTTTCTTAAAAATTGTATGTATACATATGTAAAAGTAGCATACATATTTATTGATTGCATCATTAAAATAGTATAAAGGTAAATGTGTTAGGCATTCATGCATGTACATATGTATAATTTTGTACTTAAGCGATTAGAAATAAAATACGCAATTTATTGCGTTAATCGTATATATATATGTAAATAAAATATTAGATATAAGGCGTCATTTGGCGATTTCACAGCCTGCCACGTGATTAAATGTATGTAAAGTTTGCCTAACTTCTTCTAAAATGTTCAGCACCGACCTCAAACTTCCATATAACTGCCGTGTTTGTCCTTCACCACCCAGAATGCATCTATTATTTGACCGTCTTTGTCATCTGACACCTGCTCGAAATATAAATGTGTGCCATTGTGCGCCTTCAAGCGTGTATAGCCGAAATCCTACAAAGTAAAAATGAAAATAAGTATAATCAAATACTTTCCCGCCAATTCCAACTTCACATCCATTTCATGCTCACACACCTGACTATGAAAGGCGCTCCACTTTGGCATCACTTTGAAAAAGGGTTCACGTCCCTCTTTATTACCCGCCGAACCCGTTATAATATGCACGGGTGCGCGCGGATTATGATAGGGCGCCTGCAAAGAGCCATTAAGCACTTGATAATCGTAAAGTGGCCACATTCGCTCATAGCAATGTTCATGGGCCCATATCGCCACATCAACACCGTGCTCATAGAAAACTTTCTCTAGCCCAAACATGTGCATCAATGGCAGCCCAGCACGCACCACCGTTTCATGCTTCGAGCAGTCATTGCCATTATCATTACTACAATACATTGGACGATGGGCAAATGTGATGATCCAGGGACGTTGCTTGCGATTCTCTGGTTGATTGGCCTCCTTCAAATCGCGCATCAGCCACTCGTATTGAAAGATTAAACTCTTCAAGCCATAGTGGAGAAAGTAGTACAGCTCAGTGGAGAAGGTAACAAAGTGAATGGGACCTAAATCGAAGCTATAAAAGAGGTTTTCCGTGCCTCCAGGCATGCTAAAGCGTGCGCGATAGTTGGAAAAGTTACTAGCAATTGCAAAAATTACATTATAAACTAAATTTTCATTCCACAACCACCCATACACTACTCACTATGTTTGCTCATGATTACCAGCGCACACCATATACGGCACATAAGCGGCTATAGCCTCTATTTGGCGCATAAATTCATCGCCGACAGCGGCATTCTCCGAATGCATGTCGTATGCAAAATCGCCCACATGTAAAATCGCATCGTACATGTCACGCTGGGTGTCCTGCTGCAAGCGCGGCAACGACTGCGCATTCTCATTGCCCAAGTCACCGTATATGGCTAGCGTGGGTGACCAATGCGCATGCCCAGGCGGTGTGCGGAACCAATATTGTGGTGACCAGCCCAGCGGACTGCCACAATGATAAATGTAACGCTGCTCCGGTTGCAAGTTGGTCAAAGTTACCTGCAGTGTGGAAGAGAAGTGTTTAAGGTGGGGAAAAAGGAAATGCCGGAGCAAGCTAACTTACCCGATGCATGTACTGTGTGCTATGCGTTTGGCCACCATCTATAAACTTTTGTGGTGGCTGAGTGGAATTTTGCACAAACTCGAATTTTTCAAGCCCGTATTGACAGATTGACGTTTTGGTGTCGTCGCGCGTCGACCAAGTGACAACATAGTCGCGGGTGGACTCTTTAAAATAATTTTTGAAATTTATAAAAAATATGTGTGTATTGGTGATATACAAACAGAAATAAAGGAGTAATTAAAATGTAGTTTAAAATAAAGTGGGGTGTTGAAAAATTGCAAAAAAGGATTTAGATATTTACAAAAGACACTGGTACATTGAAACAAATTCTTGGTTTAACAAAATATTTTTTTTTTTTCACCGTCAAATAAATATTTATTTACATAGATTTAAATTGTATAGGCCACAAAATTAAAAACAAAATCAGACACTTAAAAAGTTAAGGTTATGTACTTCACCAATACATAGGATTTCACTAACAATTTAAAGAAACAGCTTAAAACTAAACAAATGCGTCTAATGCTTGCTCAATTTCACAAGCAATTCATTAGATATGTATGTATGTATATATATATACCAATAAGTATAGTAAGTAGCTTAGGTTTCACAAAAAAGATAAAATACGCTTGAGATTCGCTGCTAGGTACACGAGCTGCGCTTTTCGGTTAATACTGTCATGAGCCAATTTATCTTTTCTAAATGGAATGTCAATATATTAAAATTTATGCCATATCTTAAAACTATGCCGTAAATTTTTGTGTGGTAAATAGCATTTACTATTTGTAATTTGTCGTATTGTGCTAAACATAACCAATGCCTTTCCAGTTTCTGTCGATTCCCAAACCGCTCTCGTTACACTTCTTATGGGCTATAACTGCCATGTTTGTCTTTGATTATCCAGAACGCGTCGATTATATCACCATTTTTATCATCGGAAACCTGCTCGAAATACAAATGCGTGCGATTGTAGGCTTTCATACGCGTGTAGCCATAATCCTAGGGAAGCAAATAGATTGCAACACATATTTAATCATTTACTTTTGCTACTCCCTTTGCCTCAATCGAAACTCACCTGACTGTGAAATGCACTCCACTCGGGCGTATCTCTTTCGAATGGCTCACGCCCCTCCTTGCACCCCGCCGAGCCTGTTATCAAGTGCACCGGCGCGCGTGGATTGCGATATGGCTCTTCCAGCGAACCATTCAATACTGTGTAGTTGTAAATAGGCCATAAACGCTCATAAGAATGCTCATGCGCCCATATTTCCACATCCACGACATGCTCATAAAAGAGATCTTCCAATCCGAACATATGAAAAAAAGGCCAGCCAACGCGTGTTAGCGTTTCCGAATGCGTACAATCATCACCGTTTCCATTGCTGCAGTACATTGGACGGTGTCCATAGACAATGATCCAGGGACGAAGCGCACGATTATCTGGTTCATTAGCGGACTCTAAGTCGCGTAAAAGCCATTCGTATTGAAAGACGAGCATCTTCAGGCCATAGTTGAGGAAGTAATACAATTCCGTTGAGATACCAATAAAGTGCACTGGGCCCAAATTGAAGCTGTAGAAGAGATTCTCCGTGCCGCCAGGCATGTTGAAACGTGCACGATAATTCGAAAAGTTGCTGCAGCCACAAATGTTTCAAGATAAATTTAATTTTCGTACATTTTCTTCTTTTAACAAATTTCTCAACTCACTACTTCTCCTCGTGATTGCCCGGCACCACCATGTATGGCACATAGGCAGCAATCGTTTCCACTTGTCGCATAAATTCATCACCCACGCGCGCATTCTCCGTATTCATGTCGTAGGCGAAATCACCAACGTGTATGATCGCATCATACATGCCACGCTGCGTGTCCTGTTGCAGGCGCGCCAGCGATTGTGCATTTTCATTGCCCATATCGCCGTAGAGTGCCACAGTTGGCGCCCAATCAACGCCAGCAGGCACTGTGCGAAATTCAAAGCGCGGTGACCAACCCAATTGACCGCCACAATGATACAAGTAAGTGCGGTTGGGCAAGAGATTAGATATCGAGACCTATTTGTGTATATTTGAAATCAGAGTGCGAGGAAAAAGAAACAAAAAGGGAATCAAACGCAGCTCAAGAAAACAATAATAATGCATTATACAGTAAATGAGTAAATCGTACAGGCTTTTTTTACAAAGTCAAGCCGTCATGGGCTACTCGTTTACTGGTACAGCAAAGTGTCTTGGTAACTTTACCCTATGTATGTATTGTGATATTTTCTTATCGCCGCCATCAACAAACTTCTGGGACGTCCCATTGGCGCGCTGTGTTAAACTATCAAAACCGTACTCAACAATGGATTCAATGGCATCATCACGCGTGGACCATGTCACCACAACTTCATTGGATTGTTCTGTAAATACAGAAGTAGCAAACAGAGAAGACATGATTGCTGGTGTGCCAATGAAATATTGCATTCTAAAAAGCTAGCTTCATACATTTTAATTTTTCTGATTTCATAGTAATAATTTAACGATTTTAGATTTAAAAAAAAAAATCAGAAGGTCCTCTCAATCAACAAAGAAAAATATGCATATGATTCTAAAGTGCTTTTGCGTAGCATTGAGTAAAAAATAAGTTTCAAATTTTTTTTATTTTTAATATCGGTCATTGTTATTGTTTTCTTATCTTTGTTTGCCATTTTCTGCTAGACTAGCAGCCCACCACAATAAGTTCGACGAGCTGGCTTATCAGCGCACTCCAATGAGCGTAAATAATAGGCGTCAAATGTAATCCAGGGTTTGAAAAAAAAAACTGGGCTATGAAAACAATACATTTTTTTGAGCTTAATTATAGAAATATTGCGATTAGTATGAACTTACTTGAAGAACACAGATTCCACGTACATAAAATCGTATTTATTCATTTTATAAATGCCTCATTAATGTTTGCAATATTTTCCATAAGTAAATACAGTGTTGGCAAAATGTTAATCTGATTAACGATTAAAAATTCACGATTAAAATGTTAATCGCGATTGACGGGTAAAATTAATTCGTTCCCACGACAGTCGGGTCTACGTAACCGGAACGACCCAGATTTATATTTGGCTAAGGACTGTCACTCCAGCAACACTCCCCAAAACTCTTTGGGGAACTTGTTTGCTGCTACAACAACAACAGTAAAATTAATTAATCGTAATCAACTGTATGATTAATGAATAATTTTTTTTAATCGTTTATCGCTGGCGGCAATTACGATAAATAATTTTAATCATCAATCGTTAGTCCAATTAAAAGCAAAATTTCATTAAGTTGTCTACTTTATCCGAATTCGAAACCAAACACCAGTTGTAGTAAATATTTTGTGTTTTACGCTTATAATATAAAATAATAATTATAATTATTATTAGTAATACATAAAGTGAGAACTTATACAACACAGCGCACGTGTGCAGAGGGATATTAAAACCTAGTTGCACACCAAATTTCTTAGATTGATGAGGAAACCCGACTTAGCCATACCCGATTAACTGACTTTGTGTGCACAGGAAAATTTCAGCATTAATTAATTAATCACCAAACTAACTTAATCAAATTAAGAGTTAATGATTCAAAATTAATTTTTTTATCGCGGTTACTAATAACTGTTTAATCAAATTAAAATCAATCATGATTAACTGTAATCGGATTGAATTTAATCGAATCAACTAACTGATTAAAAAATCAATCGATTGGTGCCAGCTTTTAGTAAAGTGTCCCCTTTCGAATGAGGGGGGTTTAGGGGGTTACGTCCCCTCCCCCTGTATTAATTTGACCCTACCGAATTTGTCGTACCTCTTTTGGACTTAGCAAATTTGCTTTTTATTATATACAAACAAGAATTAATTAAAAAAGTTTCCTAATACTTTTGGAAACGATGCATTTTTAGTTACTCTTGCTTCCTTAATCAAAATATGAGATCTCACAAAAATACGACTTAGCAACTTTTCACTCTAAGCTAGCAATATGTATACTGATAACAGAAACTCGTTTTCAAGGCAAACAATCTGAAGCTTAGCCAATATTACATATGTAGGTATGTAACTTGCATGCCCATATGCACTTTTACCACCCACTAATTGTGATGAGGCATTATTTTAGCATATGCACTTTAGTATGCATGTATTTGCAATGTAAATTGGTATGTATGTATGTATATGTTTTTACAAATCCCTACAATATCTTTCCCCGCACCTTCCAGAATTTTTTCTGGAAAATTTTCATTTCGACACAGCCGCAAAATTGGTACGTATGTACATATTTCAAAGTGGTTAGATGGCTTAAAATAAACTATATTTTTGTCCACTTACCTCCGAAAGCCAAATGTACTTGTTCCGGTTGATAGTGGTATACTTTGTTCACATTGATCTCCTCCAGCTTTTGCGCAGCAACGCTGACCAGTAAAGCAAATGGAAATAAAAATAGTGAACGCATTGCGTTCCAGATTTTTTCAAACAACTGGTCACAAAGTTCAATTTATCGACGCAGATTATATATGTAATATATTTGAATAATACTCCGCGTCACTAATTGCAATAGTTTAAGCTGAATAAGACAAACTCATGCGAAAATGGATCCGATTTCTTTGGAAACCAAAAGCAAAAACAACCCAAAAATAGCAAAAGAAAACAGTACACATGGGGATGGAATGATACTACGAGTAAATACAAGTACATAGTCGATACTTTTTGATCGATACCAAGAAATTTTGGCATCGATGCTTTTGATCCAAGTACTGAGTGGGTATCGAAAAACAAATACTCGTATCGAAACACGATACCACGGCAAATTTGGCTTCGGCAATTTTTTTGATGTCATCACCTCCAACTGTCATTTTGACTAACAACATGATTGAAAGTTTTTGTGTGTGAGCACTTTGATGTCTTGATATAAGTATTTGCCACATGACGCCACCAGACAACATTCTCTCAATTTAGGTGTTTACAAACTTTAGAATCTTAAAAAAAAATTTGTGTTACAGTTACCTCAAACGTAATCATAAATAATGAAATAGGGTACTGCTTCTTATTTTTCATCGATCTTACCACCAGCACATATGGCTGTCAAGCTATTAAGTTGCCTGCAATAGATGTCAAGCAATAAGCGCTGGCATATATTGCAGCCCATTAAAAATAAGCGGTCTTCATTGAAAATATCAGCCCAATTCTGAATACTCTCGGGGAGTTTGTTATCCGTGCAGTTGGCAGAACAAAAACAAAAATTACAATTACAAATTATACGCACTTTGACAATCAGTACAAAACAAAGTTAAAACAAACACATCATTTTGACATACAGTTTCCTAATGTCAAAACGATGTGTTTGTTGTAAACAAGGCGAATTCATATTACAACAAAAACATCACTTTGCCATTAACAGTGGCTACACACGACGAACATATCCGCGCACATGCGGAAATTTTGATTTTCAGCGAGCATGCTCGTCGTTTGTAGCGTGGTTTGCGAGCATCGCATTGGAAACAAAAACAACAACCTCATTTTGTGTTGATGCTTGCAGTGTGCACATCGCGGATAAATGCATACAAGCCATGTGCGTTAATTGAATTTTTGATAAATGAGGCTAAATTACTATATGTATATGTATGTACATACATATAAGTAAAATATAAATAAATTTAAGTAACACATACATAAAAAACCCTAAATCATAAGTATTTCAATTGCATCATCCGCGTCTTTTCTTTCCATGTTTACGCTTTGAGTACAAAATCACTTATGAGCCGCTCGCCGTCTGTAGCAAACGACAGCGAGCATGTTGGCGCACATGTGCGCGGATATGTTCGTCGTGTGTAGCCACTGTAACAGGCTAACCTAATATTCACGCACGCCGCCAATTTACTGTCAAAAATTTCTCATGCACATACAACTTGTATGGGACCAACCGAAATTGAACGGCGTGCGTATGAAGCTAACTCAATTTCCAATTTTTGTTCTGCGTGACATTTTGATTTGACGTTTCGCTCAATGAAATCAAATGCAAACGCACGCAAGCCAATTTCGGGTGACGCAAAAAAATAAATTCGACGTCGTGCGTACCAAAACGCAAGCCGCGAATATTAGGTTAGCCTGTAAGAAGTAATGCGGCGAAAATCTTAATTCGCCATCAACACCACCTTGTATAAATTCGCCTTGGTACTGATTAGCTTTGTTTCTTAACAGATAATTATTACAAATTATCACTTATTTCTGCTGGAGCGCGTTTCTTAACCCAATTAACTAGCAGAAATTAGCAGCTCTCTCGTTCTTACGCTCATCTTTTCTTTGCTCCCTTGCTAATTTCTGTTAGTAAAATTTTTACTAGCAGAAACTAGCAGCTGTAAAAATGAATAAACAAAGGCTTTGTTTCTTTTCTTTTCTAGCAGATAATTATCAGGAAGAAGAAGAATGAGAAAATTGAAAGAATTACGCTCACAGAGAGCGCAATAACGAAAAAGTAAAGAAACGCAAAACTAGCAGAAACTAGAAAGTAATCAGCTGATCGGTGTATTTGACTATTGAAAATATTTGGCGCGAACTTTTGTTTATCCATTTTGACAGCTGCTAGTTTCTGCTAGTCAAAATTTTATTAGCAGAAATTAGCAGGAGAGCCAAAGAAAGAAGAGCGGAAGAACGAGAGAGAGCTGCTAGTTTCGGCCAGTTTTTGGGTTAAGAAACACTTTCCAGCAAAAGTTTGTGATCATTTGTGATAATTATCTGTTAAGAAACAAAGCCAACAATTTGCGCCAGATATTAGCTTTGTTTCTTAACAGATAATTATCACAAATTTTTACTGGATTCTGCTGGAAAGCGTTTCTTAACACAAAAAATTTGCAGAAGAGAGCCAAAAAGAGAGCATAAAAAACCGAGAGAGCTGCAAAGTAATATGTTTAAAAAGCAGCTGTTCAAAACGCACAAGGAAAAAGATGGCAAGTTTATTTTACTTCGTTTTAATACAACAAATTGAGTGCATCGTTATCAAAACACTTTGAAATATTGCAGAATGTAAGGATTTGTGCATGCATTTGAATATATGTGTGTGTATACTGTGATTGCAAATTTCTGCTAGTTTTCGTTTCTTTACTTTTTCCCCTTTTGATCTCTTTGTGCGTAAAATTATACTCTCCTCTGTTCAATAGTCAAATACAACGATCTGTTTACTTGCTAGTTTTGCGTTTCTTTACGTTTTCGTTATTTTGCTCTCTGTGAGCGTAATCCTCTTAATTTTCCCATTCTTCTTCCTGATAATTATCTGCTAGAAAAGAAAAGAAACAAAGCCAATGTCAATGTCCGTATAATTTGTTGTTGTAATTTTTGTTTTTGTTCTACCAACGCCACCTTTAATAAATTCGCTTTGGGTGTGCTGTCAAATCAGTAAAAGCAAAAACAAAATCAGCTGATTAAAAAAAACCTCCTCATTAAATTCGCCTTGGAAGTATATTTTATTAATAATTAGTTTTTGCACAAATATATTTATTAAAAATGAGCAGCAGTGCCGGCGGCGCGCGTGCATTACCGCAGTCAAAGGAAGCGCTACTAAAATCCTACAACACACGTCTGAAAGAGGATGTACGCAGCATGTTGGAGAATTTCGAAGGTACAGATCACAAACTAGTAAATTTACTTTATTTTTCTTTCCTTCTAAATATTTGATACATATTACTTAATTGAATACGTTCCACTGTGTCGCTTGCCGCGTGTACTTGTCAGCATTTGCTGTAACTGTTGCAAGCCCTCCGCCAGGCCCATGCCGTTAATGGCGCAGCACTCCTGTATAGCCCACTGCTGCGTTAGAGATTGTAATTGCAACAATGCCATTAACTGTTCCGCCCCTAAGGCGCCTGGCAAATCCTGTTTGTTGGCAAATAAAAGGAATACAGCTTCCGCTAGCTCTGGACGACACCACAGCCACCGCAACTCATCCAGGGCTCGGGGCAAACGACGTACATCTGTTGCATCGACTACAAATATAATAGCACGCGTATTTTGATTGTAATGCTCCCAAAGCACGCGCGTACGCGGTCGAGAGCCACTAACATCCCAAATATTCATTACCATTTTGCCGCAACGCACTTTTTCAACATTGAAGCCTACCGTGGGTACTGACTCAATATTGCGGTCCAATTTCAGCTGATATAGTATAGTTGTTTTGCCAGCATTATCGAGGCCCAGCATGCCGACACGCAATTCCGGTTCAACTTTAGGAAACCAACGGCCAAATAATTGCGATATACGGCCGCCCATTTGGGGAATTTTAGATGATAGTCAAAAGCGAGGAATAATTCTGCACGCACAAATGAGCGTCAAGTTAGACGTAACAAATAGTGTTCACTGCCTAACTATGTGCCGCTGACGTGGCTAAGTTTCGAAAAATTGTGCGAACAAAAATAGCAGTCACTAATATTATATCATAAAAGCTGTTTGTATCTATATTTTACACGCTACTTAATTTAACTTTACAAATTCTTTATTATGAAAACCGGCACCATACCAGGCATATTTGTATTAATACGCCCGTTGAAAGCAGTGCATGTACCTAGGTATATTATCTTACTGCATATACATATGTTTATATTTAAAAAAATAAATAAAATATGTAGTCATCGCCATTGTCTAGCAGTTTATCAGATCGTCTGGCATAAGTATGGCTGTATAACTTAGTTGTTATATTTTTTGCGTTTATTAAGCATATCGCACAGATACTCAAAACCATCGTAGAGTCCATTACCGCGCGTAGCACAATTACCGTGTACATGCCAATCTTGTTTGATGTCATGTAAGTTCAAGCGCTTCACAATTTTGCCAATACAAAGCGCTTGTGGCAAGTCTTGCTTATTGGCAAGCACTAGCAACACAGCATCGCACAATTCAGGACAATCCAACATGGCATGTAGCTCATCTGCCGCCTCACTCAAACGTTCAACATCGGCGGCGTCTACTACAAAGATCACCGCGGAGGTATTAGCAAAGTAATGATGCCAAAGATTACGTATGCGTTGTTGGCCGCCAATGTCCCAGACTGAAAAACGTATATTTTTGTATTCCACAGTTTCAACATTGAAGCCAATGGTGGGCATTGTCGTTACGACTTCGCCAACTTTCAGTTTGTAGAGTATAGTAGTTTTCCCAGCGCCATCGAGACCAACCATTAGGATGCGTATATCTTCTTTACCCAGAAAATATTTTACTAGATTTGAAATTAAAAGGCCCATGTGAAAAAAGTACAGCAGGGGATTGCGCTTTCTTCGCCTGTTTGGGATGTAAATATGTAGTTTTTGTTTTACAGCCAATTTCACGAAAGCAATTTAAGTTAAAAATGATTTTAATTTTTTGAATATTATATAGAAATTGACAGAAAATAAAAAAATCATTTCCATTTAATTTGCTGGTGAGACCGGCTGTTAAAGATTTTTGAGAAAATTTGACTTCCCTGACTTTTGAATTGCCAACTTTTTGAAATCATGTAGAATGCCATATCAATTGGATGTTAGAAAGAGTTTTTGGAGTTATTTGCAATCATTGCCTATTTCGGCATTTACCTCGCTTCCACTGATATCCCAAAACTTAAGATATCTTCCTTCCTCTAATTTCAGAAATAATTAAATTGGCACGTGGCGAAGGCGACTCTCAAATCTCCAAAACAACACAGTGCGAGCAGGATACATATGAAATGCAAGTGCGTGCTGCGAATATCGGTAAGTCCAAGAAAACATCCGATGATCTCCTTAAATGTATGTTAAGATAATGCTTTCTTAATAAATATTTTCAATAACGGTTCCCGTTTTCTATTCTATTTTCAGTGCGCGCCGGCGAATCACTCATGAAACTTGTATCAGACATTAAACAGTATCTAATTTTAAACGATTTTCACTCAGTTAATGAGGCAATCACCAATAACTCGCAATTATTCCGTTCAAAACAAATGGAATGCGATAAGAAGCTAATGAAATTGCGGGACGAAATGGCAATGGATTTGTATGATCTCGAAGAGGAATATTATACTAGCATATTTAAATGAAAATAAATTAAGTTTCAAAATACTCCTCTCTATTACTACTTAAATATATAAGATTTAATACTTTTTGTATGTCTAAGTACATAGTATATCCAAGATTAATTTGCCGCATCGCTATCGTCATCATTGCTTTCATCATCCAAATACTCAAAATTCGGTTTGCGTATACAATAAGCGGCTGGTGTATTTCTGTTTGGGCTGACCTTTTCTTCAGGCAATGGTTTGCCATCCCCGCTCGGCTGTTTGCTGCGATACGAGATACAAGTTATTTAACTAGAAATAAAGTTTTTTTTTTTAAATTTATGCGCACCTCTTTTTTGGCAGCCGCGGTCTGCCCGGTATTCTGCAAAAATTGCGCAAATATTCGGGCAAACTTGGCGGTTCCATATTACCATATGTAATGCCAAAAATATGACCAGGATACACCGCAGACGCTAGCACTTTTAAATTAAAAGGGCTTGGCAAGGGCGAGTAGTGTATTTCTAAATAATTGTTCGATTTGTCTTTCACACACTTGTCAGTTGTTAATTTGACGGTAACTAGTACTTCCGAATTAAGACAACTAAAAGTAATAAGTAGCAGGAGGAAGAATTCGTATAATAAAATTAATTATTGCTCTTTTAGGTAATTATTAATGTTTATTATTTTTTATTTAAGTCTAGCACGTTATACAACAAATGCCATATAAATCCACATTTAAATTTTGTACAAAAATTATAAAAACTACTATTATCCTGTGTTCGACATTCGACCAGAATTATCTAATTAACGTAGCAATGTTTTGCCCAATGTAAAAATTAAAAAATACATCCAATTTTAAAAATGAAGTTTCAAGTT